GAAAATAAAATAAAACTTGAAATACGGTATAAATATTCATTTAAACTCTTTCCTTGAGCCTCACAAATATTAGAGTCAGGTCTGTCTACTTACAGCAATGAACAAGAGAGAACTGGCCTCTTCATGGACCTTACCATCTAATGAAAAAAAGTCATTGAACAAGTAATTTCAAGTTAGATGTACACATAGTAAGATAATTTTTTGAGCTTTTATATTTTCCTCTGTTTATTTTCCTTTTTTTTTTTTTTTTTTCCTCCCCTTCAATCAACAACTCTTTGTTTCTTTTCCTCAGAGTGGATTGCACACAGAAAGCAGAAGTTGCCTACGGGAAAATTCCTTTCCTGGTTCCAAGACTTGCAAAAGATTCCCATGCCCCAAGAGTGGCATGGAAGCTTGGGTCAATAGCGTCTCAGTGGTAACCACTGATGTCAGACCTCTGATGAGTGGAATTACTTTCTCATACCCTGGCACTAATTAGACCCTAAAGCCTGGGCACAACTCTGTGGCTTAGCAATACAGCAGCAAAAATAACTGAAATTAAACTTTGCATTAGGGGACACAAATGAAGTTAATAGAGAAAAAAAAAAAAAAAAGGTAATGTGATATTTCTTGCACACCTGAGTTTATGTAATGAGGTTCATATGTACTATCCATATGATAAAATAGGAAGTGCCAGGCACTTGGAAAGATAGAGTAAAGGAACTGACCCTAGTATAGTTGTGTTTTAAACGAAGTGCTACACTAAAGACTTGCTCATTCCCTCATTCAAGAAACATTGGGTGCCTATAGTATACATGGCACTGTTCCAGGTCCTGATATATATATATATATCCCTTATGAGAGCTCTGGTAGTGTAATGCCTAAGGCACTTGACTGCTAACCAGAAGGCCGGTGGTTCAAACCCACCAACCACTCTTCGGAAGGAAGATGGGGCAATCTACTTCCGTAGTGATACTGCCTCAGCAACCCAAGGAGGGGTCGCTATGAGTCGGGTCCGACTCGACAGCACATAACAACAACAACAACATATCCCTTATGGAAAGTGCATCTAATAAGAAGAGAAACTACCCCAAAAAATGTATAATTGCAAAATATATAGTCTATCAGATGGTGATGTGGGCTACCAAGAATAATAATGCAAGGAAATCATGGAAAGGAATGCAGGGGTGGGAGTATGGCTGGTGTTCTGGTTACCTAGTGCCACTCTGACAAGAATATACCACAAATGGGATGGCCTTAACAAACAGGAGTTTATTCTCTTACAATCTGGAGCCTTTAAGTCCAAATTCAAAGTGCCAGGCCTCTAGTGGCTAGGTGAAAGCCCCTCAGCCTTGGGCTTCAGCTCTGCCTCCAGCTCCCGGCCCACTGAAGCTAGAGGCTTTTTTTCACTCAGATAGCTGCTGGCTGTTGAGGCTGCTAAGCCCAAGGTTGACAAGTAAAAAGGCACAGTTCCAATATTACCAAACCACACAGCAGGCCATTAATTCAAGTCCATTGTAAGTCCCAAGGTCGGCAGAACATGGCAGGCTATTGAACAATGACACAGCTATATGCAGGGTCCAAGCATGTCATAAGCTAGAGACCATCCCCAAGGCTTCTCCTTATATACAGGAAGCAGACCTCATCCAAAGGCATCTACTCAGTTGCTTGTGGTAGTTACCACCATGGAGTTGATTGCCAGTCTCATCATGGGGAATAACTACCACCAGCTGCCCAGCCACTCAACCAGGCCCAGCCAAGTTGACACACAAACATAACTACCACAGCTAGCTAGGGAAGGACTCTTTTATAAGATGACATTTGAGCAGAGATCTAAAGGAAATAAGAGAGTCTGCCTTGAAGATGTGAGGGAGAAGAGAAGAGCAAGTACAAAGGTCTAAAGTAGGACCTTCATTTAAACTCTTTCCTTGAGCCTCACAAATATTAGAGGCAGGTGTAATGTTTGAGGAACAACAAAGAAGCCAATGTGCCTGGAGAATCAGATCCGACTTGACGGCAGTGTGTTTGGTTTGGTTTGGTGAGGACTCAGAGAAAAGCACCCATTGCCATCCAGTTGATTCTGACTCATGGCAACCCCATGTGTTACAGAGTAAAGCTGCTCCACAGGATTTTCTCAACTATAATCATAGAAGCAGATTACCAGGCTTTTCTTTCACAGCACCACTGGATGGGATTGAACTGTTTGCACCACTCAGGGACAGCTAAAGGGCTGGTAGATAAGGATCACCCAGCTGCTCTGTGCAATGATTAGAGATCTTCCATCCTACTATTTTTCTAAACTTTTCCAAACACAGAAGGAATTAATGGTCACTTTATCAACACCATCAACATGTATGGATTATACGTTTTCAATATACAAAGACTGTGTTCACTATTTTAGCTACCTTAATGACATCTACGATCCATAAGGAGGATGGTTTGGGATATTTGTTTTGTTTTTGTGAAAAATACTTTGAATTAAGAACAAAACCAAACCAAATCCTCTGCTATCGAGTTGATTCTGATAGTGACTCTATGGGACAGAATATAACTGCCCCATAGGGTTTCCAAGGCTGTAAATCTTTATGGAAGCAGCCTGTCTCATCTTTCTCCCACCAAGCAGCTGGTGGGTTCAAACTGCTGACGTTTTGGTTAGCAGCCAAATACTTAACTACTGCACCACCAGAGCTCCTGAATTAAGAACAAGGACACATAAATTTAAGTTTAAATCAGCTTTTTGAGATCCTGCATTACTGAAAGAAGAGAATTATCCCAATCCCTTCCTTCTACTTTAGGCCAGTGTCAGAATAAAGGAAACCACATTTATGTTGGCAGTTTGGCAAGAAAAGTATGAGGGACATTTACAGGCACAGCCAGGATCTCCTGCTCCTTTCTCTTCAGTGCTCAGTCCTCCTTGGCCCCAAACTATCTCATTTCTAGTCTACCTTGGTAATAAGACATGAATTCATTGTAAAAATAATAATGTGATGTTGTTGTTGTTATGTGCCGTCGAGTCGGCCCCGACTCATAGCGACCCCTCCTTGGGTTTCCGAGGCAGTATCACTACGGAAGTAGGATTGCCCAACCTTCCTTCCGAGGAGTGGCTGGTGGGTTTGAACCGCCAGCCGTCTGGTTAGCAGGTAAGTGTCTTAGCCACTATGCTACCAGAGCTCTCTTCAAATTCTGAAAATATACATGACAACACATATGTTGTTGCTATTACGTGCCATCAAGTCGGAACTGACTCATAGCGACCCCTCCTTGGGTTTCCCAGGCAGTATCACTACAGAAGTAGATTGCCCAACCTTCCTTTTGAGGAGGGGCTGGTGGGTTTGAACCGCCTGGAAGCCACAGGAGTAGGTTCAATTCCAGGCCTGAAGAGTAACTAGGGGCCATACTCTCGGGGATCTTACCAGGCTCTATCAGACCAGGAAACCTGGTTTTTTTTTTTTTTTTTTCTTTCTTTCTTTTTTATGATTTTGAGTTTAGTTCCACATTGTTCTCCTACCCTGTCCAGGATCTCCTACAGTGATCCCTTTCTGGGTGGTTGATAGTGGTAGCCAGGCACCATCTAGTTCTCCCAGTTTCATGGTCGTACATGCTGACATTCACAAAGGTCCACTACTCCCTTGGACTAATTGTTTCCATATATCTTTGGTTATCTCCATTCTTCTTTGCTCTGGACAAGGAGAGACCCACTGCTGCATTAAATGGCTGCTTCCTCGGCAACCCAAGGAGGGGTTGCTATGAGTTGGGGCCGACTCAATGGCACATAACAACAACATCCAAGCTTTTGACCCCAGGCACTACTCACCAAAGTAGGATATGTAACAATGTTTTTGTGTAGTATTTTATGCCAGTTGAGCTTGATGTCCCCTGCGACCACGGTCCTGCGCTCACGGATCCAACTACTCACCCCTTCAGGGTGGTTGGCTATAGCCAAGAAGTTACACGTTTGCCCCTTGTTACTTCTATTATATATATGGACATTCTTACAGCACATACAAATATATATGTAGAAATATCACCTGCCAACCTTATATATAACTCAAAAACTCACTGCCATGATGTCAGATCCGACTCATAGCGACCCTTCCTTGGGTTTCTGAGGTGGTATCACTATGGAAGTAGATTGCCCAATCTTCCTTCTGAGGAGTGGCTGCTAGCCTTTTGGTTAGCAGTCAGATGCCTTAGGCAGTATGCCACCAGAGCTGCCTTCAGACTATAAAGGCCTCATTTATTAGAAACAAAACTTAAAGACCTAGTGAGAGGGGAGAAGGAGCACTGAAAAAATAAAATAATTAAAAAAAAAAAACTTAATGACCCAAGTGCAAACTCTTCAACTGATATAATTTCTCATATGTCATTCAATAATTATTACACATGAACTCTTACAGTTTTTGGAGAGGCTTTCTACCCCACCCTGTCACCAGATTTCTAACCCAACGGATTAGGGATGTGTCTAAGTTGACTGGTTGCTATAGGAATCAAAGGTTCACAGCACAGTGAGTTCTTCTTAATATTACATGTTGTTGTTGTTGTTGTTGTTATGTGCTGTCGAGTCAATTCCGACTCATAGCGACCCCTCCTTGGGTTTCCGAGGCAGTATCACTACGGAAGTAGGATTGCCCAACCTTCCTTCCGAGGAGCGGCTGGTGGGATTGAACCGCCAGCCGTCTGGTTAGCAGGCAAGTGTCTTAACACTCCTGAATACCAAGCATAATGTTCTTAGTTAACCTGCATTCAAAGTACCAACACTATGCCGTATTACATTACTAAGAGCCTAGAGCCATTGACCCAATAGCTTTCTGCTACTTTCGTCAGACCCGCCTCCTTAGTCTTGTCGTTGTAAGAGTTCCACCCCAAAGTGCTTTACGTATGGATCTGTTATTGGCTACCAGCAAGCACTCCCTCTTGTCATTGGCTGAAACTGTCTGGGGCCGAAGTTCCGCCCGCCACAGTTATTTGTGACTGAGGGTTACAGTCACCAACATTTCCGTTTCCGGCTCGCGTCCGCATCTATGGCGACCGCCTGTGGACGGAGATTCCTGCTGACTTTAGGCCAATGGCGGCGCGGCAGTGGAGTAGCTTTCCAGTCCCAGGTGAGCGCCTCCCTTTCCTGCTCTCGGAGAGGTCCTGGACATTTAGAGAATGGATCCGCCTCGAGCTGGAACGTTCTCCCGTAGCAAACGCTTGCAACCTTCCTTCTTTCCTGCAGTCAGCCCTTCTTTCCCGACCTGCAGGCCTTCTCCGCCCTCGTGCCTGGCGTGTCCCAGGTGGATAACAAGTCCGATTTTCTGGGGAAGAAGCCCCATCGCAAGCATCCCGGCATTCGACAGCTCCCGCACGTACGGCTGCCCCAGGCACTGGCTAATGCCGCGCAGTTACTGCTGCTGGGTAGGTAACGGGAATGGGAAGCCCAAAAGAAAACTGCGACTGGGCCCGCATGCAAGTGACTCGGCTTTACATGTTTGGCTCATAGAGAGCTCGGTATCCGATGTGGAGAAGCAGGTGCAAGCACTGACCAATTATTTGTGGAGCCGACATTTGCCTGTAGAGCCAGAGGAATTGCAAAGACGAGCTGTGCATCTTGAGAAAAAAATCCTGGAAAACCCAGGTAGGGTTGAAGAGTGCTTAAAGAGTAGGCAGAATTGAGATATAAGTAGGAAAGGAAGAACAAGAAATAATTTTATCATTTCTCAAATAAGTACTGCAGTTTCTTAATTTTCTGACTACAGCAGTAATGACAATGATGCCTTGCTAAGAGAAGGTAGATTATATCAGGGATTGTTTTTGGGGTTTGTGTTAGGGTTAGAGGGTGCTCTGCAAGTCCAGTGGATTAGGACCGTCTAAGTTTTTATTCAAATGAAATAAAGGCCCTGTGTGGCCCCCTGTCTAGCATTGAAACACTCACCAGACATCAGAGAGTAAGTGTAATTTATCAAGTTATATTCATAGATGTGAATTCCTTTGTTTTACCTGCCTTTTAGTCATCTTTATACCCTGCGCTTTGCACAGTACCTGACTTAGAGTAGACACTCAGTAGATACTTGATAGAACTGACCTGAACACAGTCCTAAGATGATTTTCCAGTCCCTTTTCTCCACATAGGAACACTGGAACACTTTCAAAATCTTGAATTTCAGGAAAGTGAGGAAATCCACATAACGTTACCCATATCCTGTGTCTTACCACTCTTGACTTTAATGTAGAATAAAACCTGTGGTAGAGGCTTGGTTAAGTTGGATAAACTACTGTTAGTGATAGTGTTATCTAATATATTGCAGTGTTGTTCTTACTTAAAACGTTTTTGTCTAGATTTGTCTTCACTCTTGAAGTGTGTGTAAGAGGTGGGGCAGAGGTGGGTATGGGCAAGCAGTGTATTCAAATATTGGATCTAAGCCCTGTTCTCCCTAGGTCCTCACCTCCAGTCCTTGTTCTCACCCCAGACCCAGCTCGGACAGAGGAGAAACTTCGTGTAGCTGTGCTGAGTGCCTTGCGCAGAACTACCTACCATTGGCAAGAACTGAGGTAAGGGAGACTAGAAGGGTTGCAGAAGAAAGAAAAGTTTTGACTGTAGAAGGAGAGTTGGAGAAGTACAATTACATAATCAGTTTAGCATTTGAGAAAAGGTACCTGAATTGTAAGGTTCTCCAGGACCTATCTGTGTCAGGGAATAAAAGGGCTGAGCTGGAAGGGACCTTTTTAAATACTTTATTTCCTAAAAGTCTAGAAAGTAAGTATAGGATACAGGTTATTTTCCCAGTAAATGTGACTTATTTTTCTGGCAGCTACAATGAGGGACTGAGTTTGGTATATATGGCAGCAAGACTGGATGGTGGCTTTGCAGCGGTCTCCAGAGCATTCCATGAGGTAAAAGTCTCTCAACTTCCAACCTGAACATTTTTTGCCATCAGTTCCTTTATTCATAAAGTAATGTTCTAGGATAAGGATTCTTGGGATTTGGCATTTGCTTGTTTTTTTTAAGAGGCTCTCTGGTGGCGTAGTGCCTAAGACATTTGACTCCTAACCAGGAGGCTGGCAGTTCAAACCCGCCAGCCACTTCTTGGGAGGAAGATTAGGCAATCCACTTCCGTAGAAATACCGTCCCAAGGAGGGGTCGCTATGAGTCAGATCCAACTTGACGGCAGTGAGTTTGGTTTTTTTGGTTTCTGTCCTCTGATAGGATTTTGTGATTCAGGAAAGATTCAGAACCACTGTTTTAGGAGTTTCCTCCCTACAAAGAATTTCTCTTGAATCTCGAAAGATACTCGCTTCTCACCTCTTCTGTCATGACCCCTTAATTTGTTTCTGCCAAGGCCCTAAATAAGTATATACTTATGCTCCTGTGGGGAATTGTGTATTTTGTCAGATCCAGGCTCAAATTCCAGACTTCCAGCCACAAACCTTAATGGACTTTGGCTCGGGTACTGGTTCTGTCACGTGGTGAGTAGCCTTTAGCTCTTTCTCTGCCATTTCTAGTTCTAGAGAATAACGCTTACAGTACCACAACATCCAAAGATTGGAAAACCAAAGAGAAAATAAGAAAGCTGGGAATTAGAATGTTTCTTGCTTCAGATTATGCATTGCAGAAGGTGGTACATGGATTGGGGCCAGAATTTAAAGAAATGTCAAGGGGAAACAGGCCCATGTTTAGAAAGACTTGAGGAAACAAAAGGAGAGGAGATTAGTATAAAGCATAGGTTTTACATATCAATGAAGAAATCCTTGCTTTCAAATAGTTTGTTGAGTCTGCCTTTCTCTTTTCTTTTTTGGGAGTTATTAGTGAAATTTAAAAACATTGTTAGTTTTTCTAACTATTTTAGTCTTTTGTAGGGATGACGCTCTGTCATGAGAATTGGTAGTTTGTATTTTGTCATTTTAGGGCTGCTCATAATACTTGGGGCAAGAGTCTACGTGAATATGTATGTGTGGACAGCTCAGTTGCCATGTTGGATTTGGCAGAAAAGCTACTGAAAGGTGAGGGAAAAGTATAGGGAAGGGCTCTTCCAAAGTTGAGGAAGTTAAGAAAGCAAAAGGATACTAGAAGGGGTGTTTTCTTGGGGGTAGAGGAGAGGACAGAAGGTTAGGTCTGGTCTCTTTCCAGTGTTATAATCAAGCAGAGGTGGTCGAAGCCTTTGCAGTATTGTGGATAGGTTGGAGGAGATGAACAGTACAGGAAAGCCAAGGTTTTCCGTGTCCTTTTTGATACTTGCATTTCTATTATAGCTCATTCTTACCTAGTATTTTTATTTATTCCCAGGGTCATGTTTCCTATCTGATATTCATAGTTTATACCTATGGCTGGTAACTTCTATACACTCATAGTTGTTTTCTCTCCTTTCCTCCACAGGTGGCTCAGAATCTGGGGAGCCTTCTGTTGCAGGTGTATTTTTCAGACAGTTTCTACCTGTGTCACCCAAGGTAAGTGGCAGTGTTTGGGGTATCCTAAGTGTGGAATGTGGCAAGTGGAGAACTATAGCCTTAGCTTTTCAACCTGACACTGAATGTTAAAAGATAAGCAGTAGATGAAATTTAGGGGTCAGGACTTTTGATGGGGAGCTGTCTGGGTCTGTCAGTGTTTCTTGTCTTGGTCCTCAGGTACAGTTTGATGTGGTGGTATCAGCCTTTTCCCTGAGTGAGCTATCCAGCAGAGCTGACCGCATTGAAGTAGTTCAAACTTTGTGGCGCAAGACAAGTCATTTTCTGGTGAGTTGGGATCCTTTTTTCTATTTAATTCTCAAAGCATCTTTATAAATGTCATGCCTTTCTTTCTTCCCATGGGAGTTTCTCTTCATTTTTGACCATTTTTTTAATCCTTCTCTTAGGGACTCCATCCACATCTTGTATTAGTGCCCATTCCCTTTTAGGGCGCTCCATGTAATAATTTGCACTCTATCTGTGAATGCTCTTGGCATTAATGCTTTCATGTAATTCAGTGTTTTTGCTTATTTTCCCCTTTTGTGAACAGATACTGATAGAGAATGGAACAAAAGCTGGGCACCGCCTTCTCATGGATGCCAGGGACCTGATCCTTAAGGTAAAATTCCTTCTTCATCCCCAACCCATCAGTCACCATTTACTGGCATTCCCTTGAAGACTGAAGCAACTGTCATACATTGGTAAGGCTGATTCAGGAAACTTGACATCCTTATGATGTAGGTCAGTGATGGCAACCCTAAGGCCTGCAGGTCAAATGTGGCCCACCATCTCTTTTTATATGAGTTGTGCTCATTCATTTCTCTTTTTTATCTATGGCTGTTTTTATACAACAGCCAATAGAGTTGACTAGTTGAGACAAAGACGGATTTTGCCTCTTAGCCCTCAAAACCTAAAATATTTACTGTCTAGCCCTGTACATAGAAACTTGTACATAGAGCAAGGAGACTGTCCTTCGAACAAAACAAGGGAATACTGCATGGTTTAAAATCAGGATTGTATCTTTTCATTATACTTATTAAATCTGTACGATAAACAAATAATCCGAGAAGTTGGACTGTATGAAGAAGAACATGGCATCAGGATTGGAGGAAGACTCATTAACAATCTGCAATATGTGGACGACACAACCTTGCTTGCTGAAAGTGAAGATGACTTGAAGCATCAACGTACTTGTGAAGAGTAAAGACTTACTCTTCATCACTTACTGGTGAAGAGTAAAGACTACAGTCTCTACAGTATGGCTTACACCTCAACATAAAGAAAAATCTTCATAACTGGACCAATAAGCAGCATCACGATAATGGAGGAAAGATTGAAGTTGTCAAAGATTTCATTTTACTTAGATCCACAGTCAACACCCATGGAAGCAGCAGTCAAGAAATCAGACATACTATTGTACTGGACAGATCCACTACGAAAGACCTCGTTAAAGTGTTGAAGAACAAAGGTGTGACTTTGAAGACTAAGGTGCGTGTAACCCAAGCCATGACAAATCATCCAAATTGTAAAAATTCAGGTCTGTTCCTGTTTTGCTTCATTGGCCATAACAGAACTGATTCAAAGCCCTGCATTAAAGGGCCACTAGTAGTTGTCTGTAAATCAGATGTTTATACCCTGGGGACTGCCTGTACTCCAAACAAAGAGCTTCTTTGCAGCAAGGCATTTTCAGTTGCCTCCTACTCATGTGAAAGCTGGACAGTGAATAAAAAACACCAAAGAGTTGATGCTTTTGAATCATGGTGTCAGCAAAGACTACTGAAAATGCCATGACTGCCAGAATGAACAAATCTGTCCTGGAAAAAGTGCAGCCAGAATGCTCCTTGGAAGCGAGAATGGCCGGACAGATTTGGTCATGTTGTGAGACGGGACCATTCCCCAGAGAATGATATCATGCCTGGTAAAGTGGAGGATCAGTGGAAAAAGGGAAGGCCCTCAACAAGAAAGAGTGACAGAGTGGCTGCAACAGTGGGATCAAGTATATCAAGGATTTTGAAGATAGCACGTGACCAAGCATTGTTACCTTCTGTTGTACATAGGGTCACTATGAGTTGAAGCCAAATCAATGACACCTAATGGCAGCAACAACAGCCCTTTAAAAAAAGTTTGCCAATTTCTGATCTACAGCATTGTTAAGCCAAGAGCTCTGTTTTTGTGGAAGAGTATGAGCCAATGTATAATCATAAATTCAGTTGTCCCAAAGTGTTTTGAGAGGGAAGGTTGCTGACAAGGGAGAACACCAAACAATGTGCCAAGTCCCTGCCTTTCTCTTGCTGCAAAGTTCTTTGTTTGGAGTATAGGCAGTCCCCAGGGTATAAACGTTCGACTTACAGACAACTCCTTTAAAAAAAAAAAAAAAAAAAACAGTGCCAACAAGTCTGTTCCAACTCACAGCGAGACCCCCCTTGGTTTTCTGAGGCAGTAAATTTTTATGGAAATAGATTGCCTAGTCTTGCCTCTGTGGAGTGGCTGTTAGGTTTGAACTGCCAGCTTTCTGGTTAGCAGTCAGATGCCTTAGGCACTGTGCTATCAGTGCCTCTTCATAGACCACTCCTAGTAGCCCTTTAATGCAGGGCTTTGAACCAGTTCTGTTATGGCCAATGAAGCGAAACAGGAACAGATCTGAATTTTTACAAATTGTGTGATTCGTCATGGTAACCAGAATAGGAAAAGTTAGGAGTAGAAGCCACGGAATGGGAGACTCAGAAGAGGCCATAGTGAATCCTTTCAGGAGCCTGAGGGTGGCATTGAATTATTGTGAGGACTGTGAAAAGCCACACATTCAAAGCATCACAGTCAGGGTAGGTTGCAAAACCTGCTTTAATGTTACCTGAATTTGCCCTCACTTTGAAAGGATTGAACTAATCCCTACTAGCAACAGTTCTTCGTTACAGTTACCTTCGCTTGCTACATGTAAAGCTTTTAAATAGTTAAAACAGTCTTTGAGCCTTTTCTTGCACTAAATAAGGTAAAGCTAAGTAAGAAGCTGGGAGCTCTGATGGCATAGTGCTGAGGCACTTGACTGCTAACCAGAAGGCTGGCTGTTCAAACCCACCAGCCACTTCTCGGAAGGAAGGTTGGGCAATCTACTCCTATAGTGATGTTGTTGTTGTTAGGTACTGTCGAGTCGTCTCCGACTCATAGTGATCCTGTGCACAGCAGAATGAAACACCACCCAGTCCAGCGCTAGATCTGCGATCCTTGCTATACTTGAGCCCATCACTGCAGCCACCGTGCCAATCCATCACATTGAGGGCCTTCCCTTTCGTTGACCCTCCACCTTACCAAGCATGACATCCTTCTCCAGGGAATGGTCCCTACTTACAATATGACCCAAGTAGGTGAGACAAAGTCTGGCCATTCTCGCTTCCAAAGAGCATTCAGGCTACACTTTCTCCAGGACAGATTTATTAGTTCTTTTAGCAGTCCGTGGTACTTTCAGCATTCTTCGCCAGCACCACAGCTCAAAAGCATCAACTTTTCTTTGGTCTTCCTAATTCATTGTCCAGGTCTCACATGTATATGAGGTGATTGAAAATACCCTGGCTTGTATCAGGCGCACCTTAGTCCTCAAGGAGACATCTTTGCTCCTCAGCACTTGAAAGAGTTCCTTTGCAGCCAACTTGCCCAGTCTATATGGGCATCTGATATCCTGACTGCTGCTTCCATTGGTGTGGATTGTAGAACCAAGTAATATGAAGTCTTTGACAACTTCACTCTTTTCTCCATTTATTGTGATGCTGCATATTGGTCCAGTTGTAAGGATTTTTGTTTTCTTTATCTTGAGATGTAATCCATACTGCTGTATTCTTTAGTCTTCATCAATAAGTGCTTCCAGTCATCCTCACTGTGTCATCAGCATATTGCAGGTTGTTAATGATTCTTCCTCCAATGTTGATGCCACATTCTTCTTCCTATAGTGATACCGCCTTGGAAACCCAAGGAGGGGTCACTGTGAGTCAGCTCCAATTCTATGGCAGTGATTTTTTTTTTTTTTTTTAAGAGTAAGAAGCCTATGTATCTGTTCCAACTTAATCTATAAATTCTTAAAAATCCCAGGAACAACAGCACAAAACGCCAGGCTGCAGTTAAATGCATAGACAGGTGAGAAGATCAGGAGCGGGCAGGTAGGCGAGCAGGAATGTACCCTAGACGGAGGATAGACTTGGGTAATCTGACATACATGCACTTGTGCTACGATATTAGCCACTTAGATTACAGAAGCAATGGAAGGCAGAGTTAGAGTAACTTCTCAGAGACAACCAAACACCTTGAGAGAGAGAATCGCTGGGCCTGCAGGCTCAGGACTATAGTCTCAGGGGACATCATACTCAATTGGCACAACATAGTACATAAAAATCTTGTTCTGCAACCTACTTTGGTGACTAGCGATTGGGATCTTAAACCTTTTAAGCAGCCATCTGTGATGCAACTATTGGTCTCCTCTTATCTGGAGCAAAGAAGAGTGAAGAAAAAGGGCATCTGGAAACAAGGATAAGATGGATCACAAGGACCTCTGCCCTCACAGCCCTGAGACCAGAACTAGGTGGTGCCTGGCTATCAATGCCAACTACCTAGAAGGGATCAAAACTGGAGATCCTGGATAGAGTGGAAGGAAGAATGTGGAACAAAATTCAAAAACACAGAAATGACCAGAATTACTGATTAGATGGAAACTGGTGGAACTCCCAAGACTATGGCCCTGGGTTACCTTTCAGTCCTAGAAATGGACTCACTTCCATGGATTGGCTTTAAGCCCAGCAGTAGAAAGACCTATGTACAGAACACCTACCCCTGAGCGATGCACCCACCTGTATCAGTCAGCCATGAGACACCATAGATGGAAGGCTTGGCAGACAGGAGTGCATAGATGAGAAGGTCACAGAGGAGGGGTAGTCGGAGGGGAGGAATGGAGAGTTTTTTATGGCTGGGCATGGTAATTGGGGTAAGGCAAAAAAAAAACCAAACAGGAACAGATCTCATTCATAACCTGGGGACTGCCTATATTCAGAGAAGTAGCCAGCTTAACTCTAAGGACATAGTTAGTAATTATCAGATTTGAATGTTAAATTCTTTAACATGCAGAGATTGAATTGAGAAAAGACCTTTCGGGCCCATTTTGTTTTGTTTGTTTGATTTTCAGGAGAAAGAGAAGTCACCTCTGGACCCTCGACCAGGCTTTGTCTTTGCCCCAGTGAGTATTCTACCTCTTCCTGCATGCAAAGATCTAAAACTTAGAAAAAGAGAGCGTAAAAAAGTAAGCCATTCTCCACTATTTTGTGACCTACCCGTTTCCTCTCAGAAGTCCCCCTGGCTTTCCCACCCCCTACTGCTATACTCCAGTCTCCCTAATCCTTCTTGACTATCATCCCTAGTTTCTCAGTTTTATGGTCCATGGTTCTCTTGTCTTATTTCTTGTCTTTATTTGTGTTTACAGTGTCCCCATGAACTTCCTTGTCCCCAGTTGACAGCCTCTAGGCCCCTTGCCTGCAGCTTCTCCCAGGCTTACCATCCTATCCCCTTCAGCTGGGTATGTATGATGGAATTTTAGGGCAGGGAGAAAATAACCTGGAAAGGCAGGAAGAAAAAGAATCAGGTGGGAGGAGTTGGAAAATTTAGAGAATAGCCTGGAAATTTTAGGGCCCATGTGTGTGTGATTTATAGAATAAGAAAAAAGACTGCAGGAATAGGGACCAGAAGTTTTTTCCCATGTCTTTTTCATCCAGTCCCTATATCTCTATCTTAGAACAAGAAGCCAAAGGAAGAAAAGTTCTCAATGGTGATTCTTGCCCGGGGCTTTCCAGAGGAAGCTCATCACTGGCCCCGTATCACTCAACCTGTCCTTAAACGGCCACGTCATGTGCATTGTCACCTGTGCTGTCCAGATGGGCACATGCAGCATGCTGTGATCACCGCCCGCCGGCATGGCAGGTACAGGGAACGTGATCAAAACGAGTGGGAGATGGCAAGATCATGTGGCCCACAGTGTTGTTTCTTTTCCACAGGGATTTGTATCGCTGTGCCCGGGTCAGCTCCTGGGGAGATCTTTTACCTGTGATCACTCCATCTGAACTTCCTCCATCACCTGCTCAAGATCCCCCTGAGGGCTGACAAGGATATATAACAAGTATGTTCTCCTCACATGCCTGCCAAGGCTGAAGCTTCCTGGTGTCCGGGACCGTAGTGCTGGTACACCAATATGTTTGTATTTGTTTAAGGTTTTAATAATAAATTTTTTTTTATAAAATGGGAATGGATTTTGTGATTCTTAAGATAATCAATGTGGGGTCCGTTATCCTGGCCCCCCTATAATGAAGAGAATCCTCAGATCTTTAGTGGTAGGCTCCCACACAAATCTCAAGTTCATCCTTTCCTGTAAGAACATTGCTGCTTCTACCAGAGACCAAGGCTTCCCAGGCAAGGCAGTCTGGGATAGTGGGGATAGCCACCCCAGCTCTCTGAGAACTGGCTCAACAGGTCTCAGGGTGTATGTGGGCCACCTGAATAGGGGAACCAGCAGCTGCATAGCCTCTTTTTTTCTACCTCCTCCTCTTCCATCTTTCCCAAGGTCCCTCGGCTACCCTAGAGTTTACCACACATTTCCGTCGAGTTGATCCCAGTCAGGACTGAACCTACCATCTCCAACCCCGTGTGCCCAGGCAGGATCCATTTACTTGGTTTTCCCATAAACCTTGTAGTTTCAAGGTGGGAGCAACTTTCCCTGTCATAAAGTTCTCAGTCCTTCTCCTATGTTTCATATTAGGAAGTGGAGCCCCAGTAGGAAGTTGTGACAGTATCAGTGTTGTAATGCTAGAAATCTAAACTTTCCACTAGACATTTCCATCCCCAGAGCTATTTTTCTGGGTTGTAGGAAAGAGGAATTCCCTCACCTAGTTTCCACAGAGTACTGGCGGTACCACCTCAGCCCCACCTCCACCCCAGGTGGCCCCAAATCCCCTCTGAAAGGGTGCAGTTCAAGTATCAGCGTAGCAACCTATAAGGTTTGGGATGGGGTGGAGAGGTCATGGAAGGCTTAGATCAAATATCCTGAGAAGGCAGGACTGGATTGTCCCAAACAAAACAGCGGGAAAGTAGCCATCGTAGATTCCCATTTTGGGTTAGACCAGCCCCAGGCATAAACTAAGATTGTGTGCAGGCTTTGGATTAGTCACAGCCTTGAAGAGGAGGAGAAGGTACACGGCACTGGACTGCCTGGCAGGGAGTCTGGAGTTTCTGGTTTCGAAGCTCAAGAAGGTGTGAGGCAGGGGAGGAGCCTCCATGTAGCAGAGGGCGGGAAGCCAGGGAAGAGCCCCAGTTAGCTACACAATGCTGCGCAAGCAGAGGCCACACCAAACAGAAAGGATACCGGGAGTCTCCTGAAGGATGGAAACATTACTAGGAGTGAAAATCGGCTGCCTGTTTGCCCTGCTGGCTCTCACCATGGTCTGTGGCCTAATTCCCATCTGCTTCAAATGGTTCCAGATTCATGCAGCCACAGGTATACCCTTACCTCATCTTCATGCCTATGATCTAAGCGTGACCTCAACCCTATCCTGATACCTTATTCTCCCACCATACCCAAACTTGTGATCTTGAGTTCTGCTTGTTCCTCCTCAGCCACCTTTGATCTGTCCCCTTGTCAACTGGATTGTCACTGTTGTTTTTCATTAGGTCGTCATCACCGGGTCCTCAGCCTCCTGGGCTGTACTTCTGCAGGTGTTTTTCTGGGAGCAGGTTTCATGCATATGATTGCTGAAGCTCTGGAGGGAATTAAATCAGAGATGCAGAGCCTCATGATACAGGTGAGCAGCACAGATGCTGAACCGCAGGGCCGTGAGGCTAGAATGATGAACGGAACTGAGAGAAGGAAAGGAGAGTGATGGAGCCGAGGGTGGACCTGTGGAGCAGGTGACAACTCTTACGTGGAATGACAAAAAGAAGTCTGGTTGGGCTTTAAGGAAAGCAGTGGTGGTGAAGGGACAGGGCAGGAAGCTGAGATGCACCATCTGATTTCTGCTTTTGTCTCCCTAGAACAGGACAGAAAATGAGGGAAATTCTGATGATGCTGATCCAGCTCAGGTGAGCATGTCCCAAAAGCCCCTACCTGTAGAGTGAAGTGAACCAGTGACTGCCTTTATGCCCAGACCCGTTTGAGGGGAGTATGTGAGGAATACCAGGAATCCTTGCCATTGTCCGGCTCAGACATTATAGCAGAAAAGAGGAGCCACCCCAACCCGCTTTGCTTTATGAACTTTGCTTTACTCTTTCTCTGGATCCTTTGACATGCCTCACATCATTTTCCATATTTCTAACCCTATTGATATTATGCCTGTTAGGCCCTCTGGCATTCTTTTTGTGGCATGTCCATATCTACTCCTGGCTTCATTTCCCCACCCTTTTTTATGTCTTGTTACCACATTTTCCCATTTTCTTCAATTTGCACTATCTTTCTTCCCTTCCCATCTCATAGCTCCTCTTTCTGTCCCTAGATGGAGTATCCCTATGGAGAGCTCATTATCTCCCTGGGCTTCTTCTTGGTCTTCTTTATGGAGTCACTGGCATTGCAGTGCTGCCCTGGGGCTACTGGACGATCAGCAGTGCAAGAGGAGCAGTGGCATGGGGTTCATGCCTTTGGACTCCATAGCCATGGACATGTACCCTCACCCTCACTGGGGCCCCTTCGAGCCCTTGTCCTCTTGCTCTCCCTCTCCTTTCATTCAGTGTTTGAAGGTCTAGCTGTGGGCCTGCAGCCAACAGTGGCAGCTACCTTGCAGCTCTGTCTTGCTGTCCTGGCTCACAAGGGGCTCGTGGTGTTTGGTGTAGGACTGCGGCTGATACAGATAGGCACCAGACCACGATGGGCTGTGTTCTCCATACTGGCATTAGCTCTCATGTCACCGGTGGGCCTAGCTCTAGGTCTGGCTGTGGCTAGAGGGGACCCTGACGGAGGACAAGGCTTAGCCCAAGCAGTGTTAGAGGGAGTGGCAGCTGGCACCTTCCTGTATGTCACCTTCCTAGAAATTCTGCCCCGGGAATTAGCTGCTCCCGAGGCCCCTCTGGCCAAGTGGGGCTGTTTCATTGCTGGTTTCACCTTCATGGCCTTTATTGCCATGTGGGCATGACAGACTCCTTACTTTTCTTACAGACCTATTTAGGATGAGCTGCCTCCCAATGGCTTTGGCCCTCAGCTCTTGTTCAGTGAGACCAAGTGGCATTCACTAGGCATCGTCCCCATGGACTAGACCCCAGATTTTCTCCACGAGATCTCATTTCTCACCCAACCAAAAAAAAAACTCACTGCCATTGAGTTGAATCTGACTCAGAGAGCCCTCCTTGGGTTTCCGAGGCTATTTCTCACCCAAGATTGAGGAAAGGATATTTAGATTGAATGCCTATAAATTGGAGATTGGTATAAAAACCATCACTCTAGGTTTGATTCTTGTCCCATTTATACTCTGTGGTAATAAAATGTCCACTTTATCCTTTCCCTTCAGCCATGCTATATTTCATTGCTCCTGGTTGCTTAGAAGCTGCCAGGTCCTGGAAGTGGCAGAGTAGGGAGTAAGAAGGGCAAGTTTGGGGTACAGTAATTTCTTCTGGAATCAGGACCCCTAGCCATTCTACCGCAGTTGCGTGCCATCTCCCCAGACATGGGTGCATTGCTAAAATTCAACAGACCCCTCCCACCTTACCTACAGGTGTTACAAGACTAAGCCAGAGTTACCAGCACTTAGAGTGAAAATAGGTTTTAAAAATAAGGGCCATGGCGATTCCTTCAAAAGTTGGAAATACAAATACCATTTGACCCAGCCATCCCATTACTAGGTATATACCCTAAAGAAGTGAGAGCCATAACAAGAACAGATATATGCACGCCGATGTTCATCGCAGCACTATTTACAATAGCCAAAACTTGGAAACAACCTAGATGTCCAACAACTGAGGAATGGATAACCAAACTTTGGTACATTCACACAATGGAATACTATGCAACGCTAAAGAATAATGTAGAATCTGCAAAACACCGCATAACGTGGATGAACTTGGAGGACATTATGCTGAGTGAAATAAGTCAGTCACAAAAGGACAAATATTGTATTAGTCCGTTATTGTAAAAGTTAAGGAAATGTTTATATATTGGAGGACATTTTCTTTGTTGGTTACCAGGGGTGGGAGGGAAGGGGAGGGAATGCTGTTAGATAGATAGAGATAAATATTGATTTGGGTGAAGAGAAGGGCAATGTACCAAATGTGAGTGACCAATATGGCAGCATTGAGGATGAGAAAGACAGAGAGAGTTACATGGGCAGTACAAACAACAAATATGAACCCCTTTGTAAATACAATACTGAGTTGTTAATGAAAGCAAACATGGGTATAGGGACGGATAGACGGGTGAACAAGCTAAACAATTATGTATGTCTAAATGGAGAGTGTATCCAAGATCATATACAGGGTTGGCAGACAATGGGCCTCTCGAAGAGTATGAAGAGATGAACACTGGGAGGAGGTAACTATGGGGAGGAAGTGGGAGGGGAGCTGCTGCATTGTAAATTTTGGTCAATGACATGAGACAAAGTATATGTGAACTGCTGTATGAAAAGTGAATTTACTCTGTAAATCTTCACCCAAATCCTAATTAAAAAAAAAAAAAAAAAAGGGCCATGGGGATTTAGATTTTTCCTACACTAACCCTGCCCACCCTAATCTTGGTACCTATTGTCAACCCCCCACCACATGCCCAACAAATCTTAAGATCAGGCTAAATGGAGCCAGTTTCCATCTGGTTCCTATTTTTCACACTGAGCCCTTTGTGGCCTCAGGGACATGAATGCTCTTCTCCGAGCTTCTCTCTGCTTCCGTCTACCTTGTGCTGGGGGATTAAGAAGCAGTTTGTTTGGAGAAGGAGAAAGGCGCCAGATAAATGCCTAGGGTTATTAGTTGGCTCTGCCACAACTTTCTGCCTGTTATTAGCTCTCATGTCTGGCATTAGCTCTCATGTCACCGGTGGGCCTAGCTCTAGGTCTGGCTGTGGCTAGAGGGGACCCTGACGGAGGACAAGGCTTAGCCCAACCCTGCCACTGTGCCTCCAGCCCTTCCCCACTATACCACCTGCCTTTCATTGTGGTTCTTTAAAAAATTGCGAAGGACAAATACAAAAGCAGATTATCCAGAAATGAGGAGGAGTAGGATGACTATAGGAGCCCTGGTAGCTCAGTAGTTAAAGCATTCTGCTAATCAAAAGGTTGGTAGTTCTAACGATGAGCCTTGGAAACCCTATGGAGCAGTTCTGTTCTGTTCTGTCCTGTAGGGTTGCTATGAGTCAGAACCAACCCAATGGCTTGGGTTTAGGATGACTTTTGCCCAGCCCCCTACTGATAAGATGGAGGGGTATCTCAGACTTGGTAGAAAAATAGGAGAAAGAGAAGGGTACCCAATTTGCTGCTTCTAGTGTTTTCAGTGTAGAAGCCCTGAAGCATGGATAAGGTCTCCCGAGTTTCATTTTTTTCTGTCTACATCTCCCATCCTTCCTATTCCCTTCTCTACAATGTAAAACATGAAGGCCTCCGCACAAACCCAGCTCACACCCCCAGGGATCAAAGGAGGCAAAAAAAAAAAAAAGTATCTAACACAGAAAATAACTCTCCTGAAGCACCATCTATTCTGTTTATTCTGTTTTCCCTTCAGCCTTAAATGTTGTTAACATGTAATACACCCAGAACAGTGTCTACTACTGAGGCTTAAGGAATCTTCAAGACTGTGGCCTTGAGTTGCTCTTCAAATCTTGAATTGACACTATCCCATAAAGTCACTTTCAAACTTCAAACTAAGTAACAGTTTAGCCCAAAGAGTAAAGAAAGATTGTCAACCTTGAATATCAAGTTACTTTAAAAAAAAAAAAAAATTACATATAGATAGATAGATAGATATTATATATGACCAAAGAGTCAGCAGCCATTTTAACACATAAAGAAGGTTAAGGGGCAAGGAGATTAATTAAAGGAAGTGAAGCAACTACAACAGAGATAACAAGAATGTTGACACAATGTGAAGAATGTAACCAGTGTCACTGATCATTACATCTAGAAACTGGGAGTGGGTTTTGCTTTGTGTATTTTCAGCAAAAATAAATTTTAAAAAAAGTGTCTAGTATATAATAATAATAATAATTTCCACATTGAGCACCTGCTATGTGCCAGGTGCTTTGCTATTGTTTTCATATATATTATCTCACCTTCACAACTCTACCAGGTGGATACTATCCCCATAGTAAGTCTGGGGAATTTGGCATTCAGGTAAGTTAAATAATTTGATGATATAATCAGTTTGGCCTTCATACCCACATTTTTCTGACTGTATGACAAGCTCAGTATATAAATTCTTCATTATCTTTACCTTACCACCCCTCCCATCTTCCCATTCTATATATGAGAGTCCTAGTAGGAAGCAGATAGCAGATACTTGAGACAAATTTAATAAAGGAATTGTTGAGTAAGTTGTAGGCAGGGTGTAGAGAAAGCAGCAAATGATGGTGCAATACTGCAGGACTGGATAATAATGCTGTTACCATCTGTAGGCTGAAGAGAAGGGACCAGAAACCAGAAAGTAGGAAAGGTCGTCCAGTAAGAGCTGTGGCCTTTGGCAGAGGCTGTAACCAATCTGCAGGGACCTGACAGGGAGAAGCCAGAAGAATAACCTCACTCTCCTACTCCTGGATCTACTGCCAATGTCTTTAATTGGCCGAACAGAAACCAGAAGACAAAAATGTCTGCTGGTGCACGGCAGACCGGTCAGCCTCATGGGGCATAGAGCAGAATAGAGAGACAAACAGAAGACACACAGTCCATCCTGGGCTGCTTTCAACTTAAATGATCTTGCTGAGACTTTGGAAGGGATGAATTGGAAAGGACATGATTGTATGGAAGCTGAAGAGCTATCTCTTGTACAAAGCATTTGTCTGATTGTTAAATGGAGACTTAAGGAGAAGTATATGAGACTGTCAGGGGGCTTCATTATTATTCTGGGTCACTGATTCTGTCAGCATTGGAGGTAAATGACAAGGGTGGGATATTTCAAACATCAGTGAGTCATGCACGTTTTCCTTTCCTCATCCAGAAGCCCTTGCATTCCCCTTTAGCCTTCTCTGCTTTCAGCCATAAATACTTTCTTTTTCAGTATCATATCCTTTCACGTTCCCAGGATTCTTGCCAACCAGGACCAAAACTAGCTTTAGTTTGAACTGAATTGTACCAAAGCTGGTATAGGCTGGAGAATAGCTCGGTGGGGATAATAAAGATAGGAAGAAACTCAGGATCAGAAAAAGGAAACAATCTTGTGATCATTTTAAAAAGATGTGAATCCAAACAAGGACCCAGAGAAGGCTATAAGGGAGGAGAAGATGAATGTGATTTCTAAATGGGATTGAAACATGGAAGGCTGGAATCAGAAGAGGCATAACCATAAGGCAGGCTTCCTTAAAAATCTGGAAATAGAAATACCACATGATCCAGCAATCCCATTACCAGGAACATATCCTAGAGAAATAAGAGCCATGACACAAACAGATAGATGGACACCCATGTTTATTGCAGCACTATTCACAATAGCAAAAAGATGAAAACATGCCAATCAGTGGAGGAATGAATCCACAAACTATGCCACATACACTCAATGGAATACTATGCAACATTAAAGAACAAAGATGAATCTGTAAAACATCTCATAACATGGATGAACTTAGAGATCCATTATGCTGAGTGAAATTAAGTAAATCACAAGGACAAAAATTGTATGAGACCACTATTGTAAAAAGAAAGGATTTCACAAAAGAGAAACACTCTTGGATGTTTACCAGGGATGAGTGGGGAAGGGAGGGCAAACCATAAATAAGGTTGGCAGTTCAAATTCACCCAGAAGCTCCACAGGAGAAAGACCTGGTGATCTGCTTTTGTCAAGATTACAGTCTAGGGAACCCTGTGGGAAAGTTCTCTGTCACATGGGGCCACTATGAGTCAAAATAAACTCAATAGCATCCAACAATAACAACAGGGAAAGCAGTTTCTACAGCCTTTTATGAAAATCAGTTTGGCCATACAAAGTCATAAACAAACTGTAAGAGTGAGCTAACACAGCTGGGTGTGGTGACTAGAAACCAATGCAGGAGTGAGCCTGGACTCAGGGAAAAGGTAAGTTGTAAATGAAGGCAGCTGGAATAATGAAAGTTGAGTAAGAAAAATAGGACAGAAGTCAGCAGAATAGGAAGAGAAAGAGAAGTTAGTCAAAATAGTCACAAGAGAATATATGTGGAGTAACTTTTATGTCTCCTCAATCCCAGTCCCCCTTGTCCACGCCTCATTCTTTTCTCCCACAAGCATTTTTTATAGACTTAAACAGGAAAAAAACAGACTGAGACCTTCAACTGCCTTCCTCCTCAGAGCCGGTTTTCCATTTGTGCCACCAAGCAGTTCTCTGAAGTAAACCTTTAGAAGTATCTCCATCTTTCCTTTCTTACAAGCTGAGGGTTTGATTTGGATATTGCCATTATTGGAGTGGTGGTGGATAGCATCAAAGACAAACCAGAGTTTAGGAAATATCCCAGAGCAGTGTTGGAAGTCAGCCAAAGATCAACACCTGAGGACAAGATAGAGGCGGGAAGAAAAAGCAAGGAGCTCCAGAGTCGTCGTCTTTTTCTTTCCCCCCAATTTTTACTGTGATTTGGATGAAAGTTTACAGAGCAAATTCATTTTTCATACAGCAGTTTATTTTGCTTCATTATAGCTTTACAAGCAAGTTCTTATTTTGCTTCATTACATCATTACACTGACTGCAGTTCCCCACAATGTAACAGCTCTCTTCCTGCTTCCTCCTTGTGGTTACCTCTTCCTTGAGTCCTTCCTGCCTGTGCACTACCACACCCCCCACACCCTTCCCCAAGCTATCTCCCTGTGCAAACACTGCCGTTCAGTTTTCCCACTGATTGTTCCAAAGAGCGTATCTACCTGATGTAAATGTTCATCCCGTATGCCTGTCTATTGTTCATCTGGAAGCCACAGGAGTCAGTTCAGTTCCAGACCTGAAAAGGTAACGAGGGGCCATAGTCTCAGGGGTCTCACCCGGCTCTATCACACCAGCAAACGTGATCTTTTTTTTTTTTTTTTTCATGATTTAGAGTTTGTTCCACATTGTTCTCCCACTCTTATCAGGATCTCCTGCACTGATCCCCCTCTGAGTGGCGCCAGGCACCAACAAGTTCTGGTCTCATGGTCCTGTAGGCTGAGGACCGTGTGGTCTGCCAGTCCCTTGGACTAGTTGTTACCCCACAGCTCCAGACTAACTCTTGTGAGAGAAATTGTGCCCCTTTGCCCCTTATCTAAAGGGCAGTTTTGGCGTGTCTTGCCTTTCTCACCATAGGAAACAGTCTCTTGCTCCCAGCTCAGGTCTGATAGAGTACAAGGAATGGCTGCCAGAATTTGAGTGGACCAGTATGTGTGAGTGTGGCAACCAGCCAGACACACTCTCGTTATACACTGTCTCAGGTACGAGCCCATTGCCACTAGCAAAAGAGGTGAAGACAGGAATTGTGCTGCTAGGCCCCAATCTGTGGGGATACTTAAAGGATATCAGGTGTGGAATTTTTTTAAATTTTAATTTTGTTCTCAGTAACTAGCTTTAGATTTGTTGAATGTCAAATATAGAATGCATTCTGATATTAGTGAGCAGAGAGGCTGCCAACAAATTACATTGCCCTGGGCACCATTTACCATCAGTTCTCCTCTGGCCTCTTGTCAACTGACTCTCACTTTCCAGATCTTTCCTCAGATCTCTCTAGCAAGATGGTGTCTCCCACTCCTGCATATCCTCTAACCATTAGAAACCAACCAGTTGCCACAGAGGCAATTCTAATTCCTAGTGACCCCATGTGTGTCAGAGTAGAACTGTTCTTCGTAGGGTTTTCAGTGGTTGATTTATTGGAGGTCTGAGACAGCTCTGGGTGAACTCCACCACCAACTTTTCGATTCGCAGCTGAGCATGTTGACTGCTTGCACCACCCAGGGACTCCTACCATGGGAGGGGTCCTCTCTCATGTTTAACATTGATGCCTCCTGTTACAGTTTCACTGTTTTGTGTGTCCCTTCATATAATCACCACATAAAATCTCTTCATGCGATCCAGAGTTTCGAACTGAAACCACAAGTTCTTCTCACTGCATTTTCTAGTTTAATTCTCCTTCCCATTGAGCCCTTTTTAGGGCTTTTGTCCCTAAAGTCTGGGAAGCACTTACATTCCTTGAGAATGAAGGGAAAAGAGAAACCAGTCATAAGCCTCAAACAGAGACAAAGAATACAGAGTTTGTAGTCCAGCTTCTATAAAGTCAACCACAAACTTTCTCCTCTGAGCCTCTGAACTCGGATCCTGAGAATGGACAGAGGCAGCAGGCCATGCCATTGTGACCTCCCCACATAGCTACTGCACTGAACCACAAACAGGCAGTAGGACTGGGGAAACTTCCTCCATGCCAGCCACAAGGAGGCACTGTGTCCCCATGGGCAAGACTAGAATATCTAGGTCCAAAAAAGTAGGGAGGTCAGTCAAGGACAGCAACCCCCTCACCCTTGCTCCACAAAGAGCCCTCTCTCCTTCTCTCTAACTCTTGGATTTCTTATGCAGAGACATCTATAGGGGAGATAGTCATCACCCATCTCATATACCCACCTACATGATAAATGTACCCACACACTCACCTGTGTACACAACAAAAACGCAACCACTGCCGTGGAGTGGATCCAACTCATAGCGACCCCTCCTTGGGTTTCCGAGGCTGTATCACTACGGAAGTAGATTGCCCAACCTCCCCGCCCCCCACGTATGTACATAAATGTAATTTGCTGCCATTTCTGAAGATTACCCTGCTATGAGTGTTATCTGTGTAGGCAAATGTGCAGAAAAGACCTACCTTCCCTCCCATGATGCATAACAGCAGCTATTGCCTGTAAAGACTAGTTCTTTGCCTTTCCCTCATGTTTTGCCTTGGAGCTAGTTGACCCCAACGATTCCAGTTATGCTTTCTTTTCTTTGGTGTGATATTTAAGCACTCTGCTGCCTTCCCTGTGTGTAGCAGTCACCTGGTTTAGGTAACCATCCGATAGCTCGGTAACCCTGTTAGTCAGCCATCACCCCTGCCTCCCTTATGACCCTGGCCTACTACAGTTAAAACAGAGTTGGTCCTATAGGAGACAGTAGTGAAATGCTCAAGACTCAAGAATGTATTTTATGCCTCATTTCTGTGCCAATCAGTGTGTCAGCACTAGGCAAAAGCTGCATTAATCTTCAGCTCCATTTCATTGAAGAAAGGGTATAATTGCCTGTGGATTCCTATACAGCAGTCTGGCAAATGACATTAGTAATATTCCATCCACAGTACCCTTGCCAATGATGCTACGAAGTGCCTTCTCATTTTTACTTTTGTCCATTAAGAGCCCAAGAATCAGCCTGCAACAGCTGCAAAATACCTGAAATTCTCCTGGTGATAATTGTTTGCGTTTGTTGAAAAGCTTCACAGAGAACCACAAATAGTCTAATTAGTTCCTAGGTCACTTGGATCCTCTGGAGGTGCAGGAATGTCCCAGAGGAAACCTTCCTTTTTGCTGTGACCCTCCTGAGTCTTCAGATTGGGGTGAGCCCTAGACTGCAGATGCTGCTGAACCCTCCAATCGGAGCTTACGTGACGCCTAGGAAGGATACTGTGAGGTGGGCCACCAAGATGTCCTTGAGCACTTTAGTCAAGTTTCTATACTTCCTTCTCTAAGATCATGATGCTGGTATCTCTGAAGTCCTATGGCAATTCTCAATGATCCATAACTGATAAGGAAGTCATCTAAGGGGCTCCCCTCTCCCAAGCTTGAAAATATCAGCTACCAGCACCAACAATACCATTCTGTTGGAACAGGAGCCAGTGACTACATGGCCACACTTTATGAAGTATATATGCCCTCTATCATAGTTTGTGTCATCTTGAGAAGAGAATAGGAGAACTGGGCAGAGAAAGGATAGGGAAAGGGGCATAGTACAGGTATATCCAGGCAAAGAATATAACAATGCTCAGATTCCTCTATAGTTTATTGTTACAGCAGGAGTTGTGAGACACAGGAGGGTACCTTCCACATGTATCAGAGTGTGGTCAGAGCCTTAGGGCAGCCCTTCCCACCCCTATATCAAGCCCCAAGCAGCCCAGCCCAAGCTTGGCTCCCTCCCCAACCCCACACTAGACACACACTGACAGCTACAAGTTAGTGCAGCCAAATGGCCCCAGGCCCCTCTCTATTGCCCCACCTCCAGTCCTTCCCCCCATACATGTTCTTTGCCTACCACTCACCACCTCCTATTCCAACTTCTTTTTCATACACTAGATGTTCCTATCACATCCTGAGGGCCACTAACCCACCACCTACCAGCAAGCCACCCCCTGACACACATTCATTCAGGCCTGTACCCTTCAGAAGGCTGAAGGGTTAATGAGAATCCACATCAGCTTTGGTGAATAGAGCCCCAGACCCAAGTCCCCTCACAAGTAGGGAGAGTCTGATAGAGGCACCATGGATAACTACAGCAGCCTCTTATCCCTCACTGAAAGACACCTAAAACAGAGAGGAGATGCACACCCTCTCCACCTTATAACAAAATGGGGGAAGGGTAATTTAGGGGTCTGGGTCCATAAGAGATATTAGGACATCTCTCCCAGGAGCTGGGGGAATCACAGGTTAGAGGTCAAGGTTAGGGTAGCAATCAAAAATCAAGGTTGTCTCCCTGCATGATCTGCTTATCTTCCCTTGCTCACTCAGGCCCAGTGCCCTTATGCACCTCCCAGGTTAGTTCTGAGGGAGATGAGGGCTGGGTCTCACACCAGGGCAGCAAGGGTCATTCAACAGGAGACCTCCATGGTGTGCCCCGGAGTCCCTGAAGGGAGAGTCCCGGACTCGCTGCTCTGGGACAAGGTGCGAGAACGGGAACGGTTGCCATCAATGGATGCTGCACTGGTCAGGGAGGCAGTGCGAGACCGCGACAGGCGAGTCATGCAGGAAGAGGCCACTGTAGAGACAAGAAGGATAACCAAAAACTCAGAAAGGAGATGGACAAGGAGGCTGGCAACTCAGAGTAAGGTGCTTGAGTGGAGATGAGAATTGTCATTAGGACCAGGGGGTCACTGAGCTTGACTTGGCAGGTGGTGGTACATCCTGGAATCGGCCTAAAATAGTTTAGCTCTCAGTACCCGTCCCTCCTCCTCGGGAGCTCCTCTGTAGCAATCCCTTGTCCTCATGATAACCTCTGACCCCCATACTCACTGTAGCCCATGCCTTGCAGGAAGTACTTGAAGGCTTCAGTCAGCTTGCCTGGCTGTGAAAAGAGGATGAGAGGGAGTCAGTGGGATGAGGTTAGAAGCTGAGCTGGAGCCCAAGGTCATAGCACATGTGGACATGGGGTGTGAGGCAAAGGGCAGAGTTCAGTATCACTAATATCCTATCCCACCTCCCCATCCCACGGACAGCAGGGGTACTCACCTGAGTCAACTGGGGCTGACCTCCGGAGTCAGCCATCTGTTCAGAAGACAGCCACCCAGAAAGAATGACACACACGTAAAGAAATGACCCATGCACAGGGGTAGAAGAGGGTCTTTCTTCCCTAGCTTCCTCACTCCAGCCCCTTAGGTTTTGTTTGGATTTTTTTCTTCATTCATCCCACTTGCTCCCATGCAGGTCCCTGGAGGCCTAGAAGCTGAATCTAGAAAGAATATAAGGCTGAGGACCCAGGGCAGGTGTCAAGCTCAGCACAGAGTAGGATTACTGACCTTGAGAAAAGAGGTCTGGGTGGGGTCCAGTTTTGAGTTACATTCCACCTAGAGTAGGTAGGAGGCTGAATGAATGAGGTCATACTCCCTTTGGCCATTCCCCTCCAATGGACCCAGGGACCCAGACTCCGGTCCTTTTCCTACCAGCCTACTACCCATTCCCCAACTAGGAATCAAACTCTTAATTCCCCAAAGTTACTCTTCATGTCCCAAACAGAGCTTGCCCCTTGGCAAAATACCTCTCTCACCCCTGTGCTCGGGACTCCAGCCCTCCCTCACCCACCCCAAACTTCTCTACTGACCACTGCATCTTCATGAGGTGCTTGGTCTCCTACCACCAGCATCACAGGGCACCTAGGAGCATAGTGTTGAGGAGGAGGTGGGTAAGCCCCTTGCACTTCCTCACCCACTTCCTAGAACAGCAGCTAGAAAAATGTCTGGTTCCAAAGAGGTCTTCTCAATCCTTACTGACTCCACTAAGAAGATTTAAAGCGGGGAGATGTAGGAGTAGTGATATGCTAGACAGAATGGGATGAGAGATGAGAAGGATATTCCCTGGTAAAAGACTCTCCTTCTTCTAAGGGTATAAATACCTAGTGAAGATCCAGGGAACAGGGCATAGTTTTATTTCTTAAAGTCTTACTTGAGGGTGATATCACCTCCACGCTCAAAGTTCAGGTCTCGGCGGCTACAGAGGGATTAAAAAAAGGAGTAGGGATTTTAGGCAGGCAATGCTGTCCATCAAGATGTAAGCTGTCTTCCCTGTGAGAATCTCTTCCTTCCCAAAACAGTGGTCCAACATTGGTGATTAAAAGTGGGGACTGAAGGGGAGGGTGGCAGCCAGGTCCCAAGCACAACCCCTAATCAGAGTACAATGAAGTTGGAAGAGCACAAGAACAGGGGATCATCTTACTCCCGGAAATGCAAAAATCCAAAGGAAATAAACAGAAGGAAGGGAACTACTCCTTACAGCTCTCCCACTGGGTCTGCCCAGTAGCTGCCCCACTAGCACACTAAATCCTGCTCTCCTTGCACATCATGTACTTCTCCCAGACTTTCCTCTCCTCCTCTGTGCCTTCTTGTGGCTCCCAGTTAACTGCTTCGACTTTGCTCTCACCTGCACACACAGACACTACCCACTCACTTATTGTAGCTGTTCCAGTACAGTTCAATGTTGTCCAGGTTGGGTGCATGCGTGACAATATTTCTATACTTTTGTACCAACTCGGAATTTCCAGACAGCTCTTCCTAAAGCAGAGAAGAGGGAGAAAAATTAGGGGTGAGAAGAGAGCCCGCAGATACTGGATGAGAAGAGACAAGTCTTCTTTCCTCCTCAGATCCTGTCCCATCTAGGGTAGCCACCCCAAACATTCAACTCCCTGCTGGTCCCTTCCACTCCCTCCAGCTTCCGCAACCACTTACCTGGCTGAAGAGATGTCCAAGGATCATCTCCGGAATGGAAGAGGTGAGGCCAGTCAACTATGAGGAAAGGGCAGGTGACTTGACTCAGGGCATTATGGGAAGGAGAGACCCAGGCAGAGCTACCAGCATGATCTTGATGGGGCCAATGACACAGCTTCACTTCCCTGCCCCATTACCCACTGCCTGTCTTCCTTGAAGTTCAGTGGCCATTCAGTTATGCTGGACCCATTCAAGAGGTTCCCCACCCTAGATCTCAGCACACAGGCCCCTCCAAACCTTGTGGGCTGCCCAGTCCATCCAGCCCTTGGCATTGGGATCGATGTTGATGAGGACAAGGCCCTCAACTGTGTCTGGGTGGGTAAGCTGAGGGCAGAAGGAAGGGAAATCAGAGACAGGGATATCTTGATTCTCTTCCTTGTTGAGCTCCACTACCTCTTGGACTCCCCCTAGAACCTGGTACCTTCCTTTGCACCCACTTCCCTTCCCCAAACACACACTAGTAAACAGTACTCTCCGCGTCAGTCTGCCATGGGCCCTGAACCCTTCTTTCCCTTTTGTGAAGGTGTTTATTTCTTACAGCATATCGTGACAGGATGTAGGCTCCAGCTCCAACACCAACTCCAATTATAGTAGAGAAACTGTGAGAGGGAAATGTATGTCTAATGAGCCCTGGTATCCAAGACCCACTGTAGCCCAGTCTCACCAAACTCTTCACCCTCCTTCCCAAAGCTATGGGCACAAAGAAGGATAAAAGTGACCTTGCTTTGGGGAAGGCTGGAAAAGGAAGGTGCCGAGGAGCTGAAGATGGGCACTGGCAGTCACTGAAGATCTCTGAAGCCTATCCCCAGCTCCCTCTTTGACAGCTAGTATCTTGCAAGGAAACACCCATCCACCCAAGACACGCTGTTTCCCTACATAGTTCTTTGCCATTCTCAATTTTCAGAAGCTAGTTCAACTTGTTCTGTTTTAGTTCCTGGTTCCTCTAGAGGAACAGGGGAAAAGGGAACTTTAAGCAAGATGGGAAGAGGAGACAGCTTTAGTGAACAACAAGGAGCCCTGGTGGTATAGTGGTTAAAGCATCCAGCTGCTAACCAAAAGATTGACAGTTCAAGCCCACTAGCTGTTCTGTGGGAGAAAAATGAGGCAGTCTGCTTCCATAAAGATTTACAGCCTTGGAAGCTGCCCTATAGGGGTCACTATAAGTCAGAATTGACTCGATGGAAGTAGGTTTGGTTTGGTGTTTGGTTAGTGAACAACAGGGAGAATGGGGGAAAGGGCAAAGAGGTGAACCAGAGCTGTTCAGGGCTATTAGGGTCCCGGAGGAAAAGCCAAACAGGAGCAGAATCCAGGAGTCAACAGTGCCTCATTCTGCATACAAAGGAAGCCTCCTCTGGCTGGCTCTTCCTCCTCCCACTCTCTCTCACACACACAGGGCTCCCAGTTCCCCAGGTGTGTGAGGGGGGAGGGGGAAAGACAGGTCTATCTGGTTCTTCAGGGATTATGTCACCCCCTCCTCTTCCACCCCAGCTTCCTGATCAGAGAAGCCCCTCCTCAGCCTGAAGCAAGGCCAAGCATTAAGGCTACTCTGCTGACTTTAGCCAATTTTCTAAACCTACTCCCCTTCCTCTCAACAACCAAGGTGGGAGCACAGAGGAGAAAGGCTAAATCTAGGCCAAAGACCAAATCTAGCCCAGGAACTATGGTGGACACAGAAGTTCTAAAGGTCTCCTGGTGATAGAAAGGGAACTTTGGTAGAGGGATCCCAGGCCTCTCACTTTAAGTACTGCAGGATGCAAGGGATCATGTCTGCAAGCTGGTCCAGAGACGGATACTGATATCTGGGGAAGAAGAGAACGTCAAAAAAGAGGTCGTCAAAAAAAGACCTCAAAATGCCCTATTCATTCTCTCCCCCGAACCATGCTGCCCTCCCCCCCACTTCCCTCTTCTCCTGGCTCAACTTTCCCCACACTGGCCCAGTGCCTCACAGTCTGGTCACAGGATAAGGACCTAATTCTCACCCCAAAGGGAACACAGGAGCCCCCTCTTCCATTCCAGGAGCATCCACATGAACCCGCACGAAGTTCTGAATGATTTCCTGCATATCCCCAAATTGAAACAGCGGCTGGAAGCAGCTCTTATCTAAAGAGAATCCACATCACCCCAACAGTAGAATCAGACAGAGAAAAGCGTCCTCAAGTCAGAGCCCAACCTCTTTCTTTCGTGCCACAGTCAGAGTAGGAGAAAGCTTCTCCACAAGGCTGCCTTCCTGCCCACACTGACTCCATACCCTCACACTGGGGTTTTTACCCTTCCCCACCAGTCTCTTCCCAGAATGGAGTGGGAAGAGGAGTGAAGATCCTTACAGTTGAGTCCCACATCGTGGTAGGTGAGTATCGCTGGGCGTTTGGGTTTGGGGGTGCCATAGACAGTAAAAGTGACAGAGCCGTAAGGTGTCTCCACTGAGTGAGTCTGTGGGAAAACAGGTTACCATCAGGTAGGAGTTCAGCTGAGAGAAAAAAAAAAAAGACAGGAGAAAGGGCTACACAAAACTCAGGGAGTTGGGGTGGGGAAGAGAGAAAAAGAAAAGGAAATAGAATTTAAAATCGCATCATCAAGAATGTAGTTTAAGAAAATATTATCGTGGAATAGGAGTTTGAGGGTGGAAAACAATAATGGAAGAATGGAGAACATCAAGGAACTCTGAGAAGGGAAAAGAAAGGAGTGGGGAAGAGAAAGGACTGGAATGGAAGGAAGCAAAGAGAAAGAACCAAGTTGGGGCCCTCTCTTGACTGGGAGAGAGGAGATACCCTCTTCCCACCCTGAGACTGCCCCAAGCTGTTACCTGTCCCTGGTCCAGGAGGATTCGGGCAGCTAACTCAGCCTCCTGGAGAGACACACACACACAGACAGACGCAGAAATATACAACCACAGCGAGTCACAGATGGAGAGACAGACACAGAAAAAAAGACACCAACAGAGACCAAAGACAGAAAGAGATCGACAAAAAGAGATATGGAGAGGATGAAGGTTAGTGTACTGATAGGACAAGGGCCTGGGCTCCCAATTGCAGCGGATGGGGAGAGAGACATGGTTAGAGGTGGAGAAAGTAGTGGTGTGGGTTAGAATGAGGTCAGTGGACGTGGGAACACAGGAGATGAAAGCTATGCTTGGCAGCCTGGAATTATGCATGGGGAGTCAAAGGGTCTCTACTAACCTTGGCTGCCTGGGGTGTCTGTCCTGGCAACAGGGGCTTCTCTTCCGTGATCTGCACCTCTTGCAGCTCTGCCATGGTGGCCTGGCAGGTTAAGGAAACCACACTGTGGGAGTTTGCCTCCATCCCCATCCCTTCACATCTCAGAATGCCTGGCTGCCTCTCAGCATAAGGCAGGGTACAGAGGGACTCAGGAGGTACCCTAGGGTACACACACAACCTTTCCTGGCCCCGATTCCATTTCCAGGCTGAGTGGGAAAAGGGGCTGTGGAAAAAGAGTCAGGATACCACTTCTCCCCAGACTGGCCACCTCTACTGCTGACCCCCTCAATAGCGCCATCCTAGATAGAAATACCAAGGTGGGGCAACAGTGCAGCTCAGGTTTCCCAGGCTATATTTAGGGGTCACCCCACACTCCCAGTTAGATAGAGAGTAAAATGCATGGCTCAGGGAGTGTGTACTTCAAAGATACCAAGGAAGAGGGGAGTAAGCGTTCACAATTGACCATCACCTTCAACTAAAGCCCCAACGTGAGCAGTTCAAAGGGAAAGGGGCCAAAAATGTCCAGAATAACAATGACCAAAGGTGGGGGCATCTTTGTCCAACCTACCCAATGCCTCCCTTCCTCCCAGAGTTCTGCTTCCTGACTTGGAATAAATTAGCAGACATTCCACATGCTTGGGGCTGGTGAGGAGCAGAGCACCTGTGCAGACCCACAGAGGCAGGAGCCAATTGCCCAGGGGTGGGGTCACTTACTGGGCTCCTATTGGCTGGATGCAGTGGGGTTAGGGGTCAGGGTTCACCTCCTGGCTCTGGGGTCTGTGAAAAGACAGCAGTGAGGTGAATGACACGGGAGCCAGAACCTGGGCCTTTTAGGGACAGAGAGCCTCAGCGATACCCAGACTCCCGGGGTCACTAACCCTCCTCAGGTTACTAACCCTCCCCAATCTCTGCCACTGGAGTCCAGAGAACAGTCTCTAGGCTCCAGTGAGAATCAATACAGCTGGAGGAGCCTGCAGGGCGAGAGCAGGTATCAGTCCAGGCTGGGGGTGGAGAGAAGGAAGTGCTGATGTGGAGGAAAGAGCGTGGCTCGTGTCAGAACCTCTGGATTCTAATCCCAGCTCTGCTGCTACCAGTGTGACACCTTGGCCAAGTCAGTAACTACACTTGCCTCAGTTTCCTATCTGCAAACTACAAGGAGGGGCGTGGAGAACCCGAGATTTTTGACAGCTCTCGAGTGACACGAGGTAGCAGAGCGTGACTGTTTCCCTCCACCATTTAAAAACAAACAAAATAGCCTCGTGTCTTCGCTTATCGCCTCCCCCCAGTCTACTCTCTGTGTAGGTTCCGTAAGCAGAGAAACCTGGGCGTGGAGAAAGGGAACCGTCCCACAATCTTCTCCCAGCCTCCCCCGCGGTGGTCGAGCTCCAGCTGGGAAGGGATGGATGGAACAGATGGGACCAACCCGGCCTCTACGAGTCTGGACACGCTGCCTGTCCGCGTGCGGACCGACAGATAGCTTCGCGCGCCAGGCACTAAACGCTCTGGACGCTCGACCCAGCCTCGAGCCAGCCCCAAACACGTTCCGCGACTGGCGGAGTCTCCGCCTTTGTGAGCAGAAGCCCAGCGCCTGCTCCCTGCTGGCCCCCAAAGCGCCCCTGGGCCCAGCAAGCGCCCTGCAGGCCCCGCGGCCCCTCGCTGCCCCTCCCCCTACCTGCTGCCGCTGCGGCCGCTTCCACCTTCACTTGCCTTTGACTCTACGGCCCGCCCCGGCTCGGGCTCCCCCACAGACCCGCCCCCGGCCCGCCCCTGCCAGCCCAAGGGCCCACAGCTCCCAACAGACCCGCCCCGGACCCCCTGTAAACACGCCCCCCTCTACCCCGCCCCAGGCGCCCTGCAGCTCCGGGAGGGACTGTGCTGGGGCGGGAGGGACTCTAAGAAAAGCAAACTGCTGGAGGCTTGCAGGCTCCGCTCGCGCTCCCCACACGCCCCTCAACCGGGCGGTGAGGAGTGTGCAGGGATCTCTCAGCCCTGCCGGGGATCCCCATGCCCGCCTCTCAACATGTCCCCCGGCAGTGACCTGGATCTGCCTGTCGCACTCTGGCTCTTTCCCTCGCCCCCAGACTCAGGAGTAGAAGCGGGGAGGTGGGGAGACAAACACAGGGTGCGAACACCCCATGATTTCGACTCCACCCTCCCGGAAAGAGAGAGTTAGGTTAAGGAAAGAGGAGGTGGGCCGGGATCGCTGCTGAGGAGGACGGGGTCTCGCCCGCTGGGAGGGGCAGCTATGCCAGCAACGGGTGCAGGGGCGTCGAGGGCGCGGCAGCTCCGACTCCCGGGCACCCAGGGTCCTGGTACCTCCTCTCTGCAGTGTCCCGACGCTTGCTCTCTGGCTGCTCCGTGAGAAGTTGGAAAACAAGGCGGGGCGGGGGGGGGGAGAAGCTCTGGGGTTCGCTATAAATAGAGGGAGATCTCAGGCAGGGGGAGGGGGAAAGGATGACCAACGGGGACTCCCGGGTCAAGGCACCAAGGGGGTTGTGGAGGAGCGGCCTGGGACCCCCAAGGAGTCTGACTCCTGGGTAAACAGGAGCGGGGGCGGGGTCAGCCTTGCGGGGGTGGAGTGGGGGCTTGGGGAGGACGCAGTGTCCTGGGCTGGGACCCAAGAGACCCTGTGGCTTTGGCACTAACCCCTCCCAGTCCAACCCAGAAAAGGAGGGTGAGACCAACTCGGCCCGGCTGAATCGCAATGCCCAGCGATGGTGTCTCAGGGACTGCTGTTTCGCTCGGTGCCCGGGTGGTTTGCCGTGCCAGGCTCCTCACCCGGCCTGTGCCCCTCAGAGGAAGGACCCCTGGAATGAGAAGGCTGATGTGGCTAAGGGCATTCGAAGTTGTCTTAGGCACAAGGAAACCAGATTGAATTTTTCCCCACCTGCCCCCTTTCAGCCCCACTACACACACATACACTCACAGGATCCCAGCCCCACCCCCTTCGTCCTGGTTCCTAAATTGCCATTTAGGGGTCTGGGCACCCGGCCAGTTGGGAACAATGGCCAATGGAACTGGAGCTGCCAACTGCAACGCCTGCACAGACTGACCCCCCCCAAGACCCCAAAATTGCCCTTTCCCCCCTGCCTGGGAACCACCACCCGCAGCCCTCCCCCATCGATGGAACATCAATGCCCCTTTCATCCCCACTTGGCAGAGTCTATTGGAAAGGAGGAGGGGCCAAGAGGGAGGAGGTGACCCAGAGCAGAAGAACTGGTCAGATCAAACTCAGCCTTCTACTCCCCCAAAATCTAAAGGGCCTCTTACATCCCCCAATTTGGAGCACCCAAGCTTTCCTCTATTGCTTTTCCCTACTCCCTCCATAACTATTTCCCTAGAAACTGGCACTGAAGAAGGGCTACTTGGCTCCTCACCTAGTTCCCTCTCGCCTCTGGATCCCAGTTTAACACTTTCCTGGACAGGGAAAAGCCTGCTGGAATTAGGAACATAGTAAAGATGCATAGGAAAGGAGAGAGATTACACAAGCCCTAGGGGAACTGGAGAAGAAAGAGCCTAGAGAACTTTTGCCTCCATCCTTCCCTGGTGTGTCCAAAGTAGTCTTACTTGGAGTGGGGGAGGGAGGGAGAGCTGGAGGTTCCAGCATCTAAATTAGTCTCTGGGTCAGGATGACTCAGGGGGAACCTGATAAGGGGCCTGCAGGGCCTGGGGAAGGGAGGAGGTGGGAAATTTCCACTGGATTCATTTGCTTCCTCGGCCTCGGGGTCTCAGCCTGTTGCAGGCAGAAGTAAGGCTGGTTCTGGTATAAAATAGGGTTCTTCCTTGTCAGGGGAGTTCCTGGTCTGGGTATAAGTGGCCCAACTTCCCTTGGGCCAGAAGCACATTTCACACTGTGCCTTCAACTAAGCAGCATTTTTAAGTACCTGCCATGTGCAAGTCACTGTGTAGAGGATATGAAGAATGTAAAGTGTGAAGTCTAGCCACACCCTTTTGGAAGCTAATTATCAAGTTGTTGAGAGAAGGTATAAACACAGAGAAAATCCCGGGAAAAAAAAAAATGTATATATATGATCAATTGTTTAGACCATATGTCCTATTATAGCAGTAGTTTTTCACCCTTCTCAAGTGGGAGGTCAGAGATTGCCATGCTCATATGACGGTATTAGTATCTCCTGACTGAGAAAACACTAAAGACAAATTGTGAATTCAGCAACACTTTCAAACTTTCAAACAAGTTTGTACAGTATTCTGAGACTCACAACAACTATAAATATATATATTTATAGTAATAGCTACTTGTGCAAGGCATATTCTTTATATAATTGATGATCAATGCTCTGGGCCCTATCAATAATTCAGAAACCCTCACCACAGGAGGCCTTAAACCATGGGTTGGGAAACATTCTCTGACTATAATTCAGAGGAGGAAAAGAGCTTTGTTCACAGAGTGCACCCCCTATGAGGAGTGCAGCCCTGGAGTATTTGAGTAGAGGAAGGAGCTCTTTATCCAAGCTTAGAGGGAGCATGAGGGAAAGTTTGGAGACAGAATACACAAATTACTCTGAAGAACTGAGTATACTAGCTACTATGTAGGAGCGCTGGTAGCATAGTGCTGAAGGCACTTGACTGCTAACCAGAAGGCTGGTGGTTCAAACCCACCAGCCACTCCTTGGAAGGAAGGTTGGGCAATCTAATTCCCTAGTGATATCGCCTCAGAAACTCAAGGAGGGGTCGCTATGAGTCGTGTCCGACTCCTTGGCACATAACAACAACGACAACAACAAGCAAGATGCTTCCCATGTATTATCCCCCAAATACTGTAAGGTAGGTATTATTGTCCCCACGGTACAGATGAAGAAACTGAAGTGCAGAGATGTTTAGTGACTTTCCCAAGACCATTCATCTAGGAGTCCTGCTGGTGTAGTGGTTAAGGCATTTGGCTGCTAACCAAATGCTCAGTGGTTCAAACCCACCAGCTGCAGGAGAAAGATGAGATGGTTTGCTTCTGTAAAGATTTACAGTCTTGGAAACTCAATGAGGGTTGATATGAGTTGGAAATGACTCAATGGCAGTGAGTTTGTTTTGGTTAAGTTTACTCAGCCAGCAAAATATATCTAAGATTCAAATTCCCACCCAGATCCATCCCGCTCTAAGGACTATGCTCTTTCTACAACCAGGAAGTCTCTCAAGGGTCTGGTGATTAAGCCATTATGGCTCATAGAGAACTAAAGAATAATTTGGGTGAGAAGTGGGTGATGTTTGGTAAGGTGTATTGAGGCTAAGTTGTACAGGTCTTTGAATGCCAAGCAAATAGATTTGGCAATGAAGAGCCATAGAATGTTCTTGAGCAGGAATCATGGGTAGGAAAAACAGTTTTGTGAAAATTAATATGATGGGAGAGGTATAAAGATGGATTGTACAGTGGGTGAAATGAAGTATTTGGGGAAGAAGTCATTTAGAAGCCATGACAGTCATCCAGATGTGAGATGACAAGGACTTGAATAAGGGTGGAAGCAATAGGAATAGAAAGAAAGGAATGAATTTGTAAGACAAGGTTTTAAAAAGATCATTTAATTAGAATTGATGACTGATTAGATATGATGGGAGTCACCAACCTAGTTACTCTATTTTAGTATCCCTGAAGTTCATCTATGTGTAGGAGCTCTGGCCAGAGAAAAAGCCAAAGAAAGAAACCCCTAAGAAATGTCCTTGACATACATAGAAATCTATATGGAAGCGTTTCAGTCTGAGACTCATCCTGATGCCCTTCACCCTGACCTCCCCAGCTCTGTCTTTCCAAGATTTTTGCTCTACCTAGTTACCCAGGAGCTTTGGTAGCATAGTGGCTAAAGCACTTGACTACTAACCAGAAGGCTGGCGGTTCAAACCCACCAGCCACTCCCCGGAAGGAAGGTTGGGCAATCCTACTTCCGTAGTGATACTGCCTCGGAAACCCAAGGAGGGGTCGCTATGAGTCGGGGCCGACTCGACGGCACATAACAACAACAACAACAACAACAGTTACCCAGGCTGGAACTGAACTTACTCCCATGGCTTCCAGTCAAATAATGGACATATATATAAGGTGAACATTTACATCAAGTAGATAAACTCCTTAGAATGAACAATTATGGGAGAACAGAAGGGCAGTAGTTGCACAGAGATATGGGGGGAAGGGGTTAGGGCCAAGAATGCATAGGAAAAAAGGACACAGGGAAGAGTAATTACAGGAAGGAAGTGGGAAGAGAGCTGTCCCGTTGTAGAGAACTGCAGTCAATGTCATGAAACAAAATGTGTATGAACTGCTGTATGGAAGATGAATTTGTTCTGTAAACTTTCACCCAAATCACAATAAGAATTTAAAAAAAAAAAAAAAGATCCTTGCTCTGCTGGTTTGTGGAAATAGCGTTGTCTTTAGTGTGGAATCGATCTGGGTGGGGAATTGAATACTAGACATGCCATTCTCAATATTGGAAGCTATTTAATGTTCCTCTTGAGGTTGATCTGCCAAAGCCAGTGAGATTCTCCATGTTGGTGGCTACTCCTGGGCCTAGACACTAGGAAGGAGGGCAATATTAGACTCATGACAACCTGTTTTCATTAACCCTTTCCCTGGGCTCTCCTCAGCTTTTGTTGTGGGCCAGATCATAAGGCAATCTGACCAGGGCCCAGAGCACTGGTAAACTGGGCTGGAATGATGAGGGAAGTTTGACCATCTGGAGAGGTCCCAGCATTCATCAACTTGTTCAATGCAGCAGGTAAGTTAAGGAGACTAAAAGCCCCCTCCCCCAAAGAGACAGGACAGGAAGTGATGTCACATAAACACTACCAATGTCATAGAAGCTTGCCTCTCCTGCCCTGTCTGTCTCCCTTTTGCCATTCTCTCCAGCCAGCCAACTCCTGCATATCTGCACACACACATATACAAAGGCTGGAAAGGGTCAGACATCATCAGGGCGCTCTCAGGTACACAAAAGTGGTGGGGAAGAGGGGCAGGTGGTAGTGAGTTTTCAGTCTGTAAGATCCACACTGGTATCCCTAGTGAGGAGAAGAGAATACTGTAGCTGGGGTAGGTGGGATGGAGAGTAAGGGAGAATGGGTAGATAGAAGAGGGAGGAGGTTTGTTCCCTTTGCTGATTCTGATTTAATCTTAACCCTCATCTTCATTACTCAGTCCTCCCTTCCCCTCCTTTCTCACCTCTCAGTTTGCCCCTTCTCTCCCCCACCTCCAGTTGACAATGGCATCAGAAGCAGGGAAAACGTTCCAGCGGTTTGCTGTCTTTGGAGACTCATCAAGCAGTGGTACTGAGATGAACAACAAGAATTTCTCCAAGCTATGCAAAGACTGTGGCATCATGGATGGCAAAATGGTCACCTCTACCGACGTGGACATTGTGTTTAGCAAAGTCAAGTAGGGAACCAATGAAGGACAGGCAGAAAGAGGAATGAGTGTGGGGGGAAGGGGAGGCAGAGAGAGAGAATGAACAAGACAGTAGAACGTGCAAGGGTTCATGTGGCTGAACATTTGTGGTGGGCCTGCTTAGAGCACCCACTGGGCAACTGTCACTGGGTACAAGACACCCAGTGATAGGGCTAAAGAGGCCAAATCTAACTAAGGGAAGGATTGGACCTTGAATGGTGGATGAGTTCATGTTCCAGAGTTCCTGGATTTCTGTTTGACTGCCCAGGGCCAAGAATGCCAGAACCATCACATTTGCACAGTTCCAGGAGGCAATGAAGGAGCTGGGCCAGAAACGATTCAAGGGGAAGAACCCAGATGAAGCCCTGGAGAACATTTATAAACTCATGGAGGGCAAAGATCCAGCCACCACTGGTGTTACTGTGAGGAACCTTCTTCGCTAACCCTTGATCCTACTTCCCTAAATCCCCGTTGCTCCAGTCTCCCTTTCCACCTTCAAATCTCAATTCCGGCCAACAATGTAATTATAGGTAGACAGGGCAGAAAGCCTCTCTAGCCTGTTGATGTTTGGAACAGACTTTAGAGATCATCTAGTTATTTCAGAGGCGAGGAAACTGGCCCAGAGAGGAGAAAGAGGTGACTTGCTCAAAGTCCACAGCTATTTTAATAGAATTTAGACTCATTTCCAAGGCTCCAGTATCTGAATCCAGGCAACTAGGACTTGGTGGCTTTGTGAGGACAGACAATGCAGACAATTTGATGCCCAATCTCCACTCCTCTTTCTGTTCCTAGAACAATATCTTATTTCTAACCTGCCTCCCTTACTCTCTGTTCTCTAACTGCCACCACTGTAGTAAAATCTCTTTACACTCTGGGTTTCAAATAGGGCCTTCCCAGTAGAAGGGACCTTGTATATTGAGTCTGGGGTTGAAATCTTCTGTCAGCAGCCAAGTCAGAATAACTCTTCTAGAAACAGAAAAATCCACCCTGTCTCCTCCCAGATATCCCACACATTCCCATATACCGGACTCCTCCTCCCTCCTGAGTGGATGGCCCTTGTCCCAGTTGCATCTGGACACCAAGAAAGCAGCACCATGCCATGAGCAGAGCAAGAGCCCCCAGCACTAGCAGTATACAAGTCTGTCTTTAGGAAATGGGTGTAACAGTGGAGGGGAGGGAAGAAGGCGCAAACTCTGATCCTCTGACTTGCAGAAAGCAACAGCAGTGGGTGGAGTGGACCGACTGACAGACACCAGCAAGTACACTGGCTCCCACAAGGAACGTTTTGATGAAAGCGGCAAAGGAAGGGGCCTTGCAGGACGAGAGGAGTTGACTGACAACTCAGGCTATGTGAGTGGCTACAAGGGTGCTGGAACCTATGATAAGAAGTAGAGAAGCCCCATCTTAACCTGCTAGCCCCTGACCCTACATCTTCAACTCCAGGGAGCATGGGAAACAATAAACATCTGTGTGTGCAACAGCTAGTGAGCACTGTCTTCTATTAGGGTGAAGAACAGATGGAACCGTTGGTGAAGAAAGAGAGAGAATAGAGAAACCTCGTGCCCAAGGCATTTGACTGCTAACCAATGGGACTGGGGGATAAGTTTGGAGAAAAGAGATGAACTAGATGTGGAAACAAAGATTTGCTACTTATGATCACATTTTGTTGGTATTCACCTCCTCTACCTCCCAAAACCAAACCCCAAAATCCAAATCCACTGAGACTGAGTCGACTCCAACTCTTAGCAACCCTCTCCAACTCTTAGCAACCCTCTCCAACTCTTAGCAACCCTATAGGGTTAGGAATAGAGCTGCTCCATGGAGTTTTCAAGGCTGTAAATTTTTATAGAAGCATACTGCCTCGTCTGTCTCCCTTGGAGTGGCTTCTGGGTTCAAATTGCTGACCATTTGGTTCACAGTCATATGCTTTAACCACTATGCCACCAGAGCTCCTTTACCTCCCAAACTCACTGCCATAGAGTCATTTCTGACTCATGTTGTTATTGTTGTTTTGTGCCATCGAGTCTCACTCAACACATTACGACTCCTCGGGTTTCTGAGGCAGTATCACTACAGAAGTAGATTGCCCAACCTTGCTTCTGAGGAGTGGCTGGTGGGTTTGAACCGCCAGCCTTCTGGTTAGCAGTCAAGTGCCTTAGACACTATGCTACCAGAGCTCCTTTTCTGACTCATAGCAACTTCTACTGCATTTCCAAGATTGAAAATCTTCATGGAAGTAGATTGCCCCATCTTCCTTCTGTGGAGCAGCTCGTGAGTTTGAACCACTGACCTTCGTGTTAGCAGTCAAGTGCCTTATCCACTATGCCACCAGAGAGAGTAGCAAAGAGAGTAGCAATTCCTGATTTGACATTTTACTGTTAATTGCCCTCCAGTCAGCTCCAGTTCATAATGACCTTATGGATAAAAGAATGAAATGTTGCCCAGTCCTTTGCCTTCCTCATGATTGTTGCTTGTTTGAATCCATTGATTTGGTTATTGTGTCAATCCTTCTCATTGAGGGTTTCCCTTGTTTTTATTGACCTCTATCTACTTTACCAACCATAATGTCCTTTTCTAGCGATTGGTCTTTCCTGATGACTTGTCCAAAGTAAGTGAGCTGACAAGCTCAATTGGCATCACATACTACACAAAAACATTGTTCTGCATCCTACTTTGGTGAGTAGTGACCGGGTTCTTAAAAGCTTGAAAGCAGCCATCTAGATGCAACAATGGGTCTCTCCTCAACCAGAGCAAAGAAGAATGAATAAAAACAAAGACACATGGGAAAAATCAGTCCAAGGGACTAGTAGACCATGCTATCCTCAGCCTATATGACCATGAGACCAGAAGAACTAGATGGTGCCCGGCTACTCCTGTCGATCTCTCGGAAAGGGATCAGTGCAGGAGATCGTGGATAGAGTGGGAGAGCAATGTGGAACAAAACTCAAAATCATAAAACAATAATAAAAAAGAAAAAAAAGACCAAGTTTACTGGTCTGATAGAGCCTAGTGAGCGCCCCCACCCCCAAGACAATGGCCCCTACTTATCCTGGAATTGAACTCACCCCCATGGCTGCCAGTCAAACAATAGACAGGCATATAGGGTGAACATTTACATCAGGTAGATACACTCCTTAGAGCGATCAATCATGGGAGAACAGAAGGGCAGTGCTTCCACAGAGAGACAGCTGGGGGAGGGGGGCAGGAATGCATAGGAAAGAAGAACACAGGGAAGAGCTAACTTCAGGGAGGAAGTGGGAAGAGAGCTGTTCCATTGTGGGGAATTGCAGTCTATGTCATGAAACAAAATGTGTATGAACTTCTGTATGGAAAATGAATTTGCTCTTTCACTCAAATCACAATAAAAATTGGGAAAAATAAAAGTTAGCAAGCTGAATTCCCACCATACCACTTACTGGACCCTTCCTCATCTGTTGCAAACTAGGTATTGTTGAAAGGATAAATAGAAGCCATCTAGAGTGGGGCACAAATCTACTCAAGTCTGACTTCTATTATTAGTTTACCTAGGGCTGGTAAAAAGGAGAATCTGCTTTTAGCCCCAGGACTGAGTTTTACCCCACTCCACTTCCATCATGGTACATATGGAGCAGAAGATCCTACTGACTGCTAAGTGTAGCCCTGGAAGATGGCCAGGCTTGGGTGGCTTCCAGGCCTCCAAGAGTAGGAGTCTCGGTGCATTGAGGAAAAAGCATTTAAATCAGAACAGATATGTGTTTTTTTAACTTTTTATTTTGAAATGATTATAGATTTACAGGGAATTGCAAAAATAGTACAGAGAGGTCCCATATACCCTTCATCCCATTTCTCCCAGTGGTTAGATCTTATATAACTCGAAATTTTATGCAGCTACAGCTAGGCTCTCTTGATTCTCTGAATTGTCAATCACAGAAGCTGAAGTTTAAGTTCAGGACAAGTTACTAGACGGAAAGGAAAGTGGGAATCTTTGGGGGAACAGACCAGAGAAGATAACTTGAAATTCCAGTGAGCCAAAGTGAGAGGACGGAAGGAAAAGAAGTTAGAAAAAGGAAGGTAGGGCCACTAAAGGAGGTTGGGAATGTTGAGAAAAGGCAGTGCTGAACTCCGTGGTAGAAGGAAGGAAGCAACGACAGATTACATAAAGTGAGAATCAATGATTTCAAAGATGAGCAGAATGGGAACTGAGGGGAGTTAAGATGTTAAAATGTGTCTCAGGGAGGTTCCTATAGCTAGAGGTACCCACTGTGTGAGTGAGTGAGGGGGGAAATTACAGGGTAGTGGGGGAAGACTGAGAAGAGAAGAGTGGTGGGGATGCAGAGGTGAGATGCGGAAGCTGGGAGCTTGTTTCCATGGTGTGAGCTGAGGCTCTGGGACATCGTCCAGGATTCAGGATCTGGCCCAGTGGATGGACAGTCACTGCCAACTGGACAGAGTCAGCTTCTTGGGTGGGTAAAACTGTCCCTGGGGGAAGAAAAGGAGGGGGGAAGGGGAGTAGTGTAGACAAGTTGGAAAGAGCCTAGAAGACAGTATGACTTCACGTGGTAGCCAAAGCTCTGAACGTCTTTCCTGCCTTGGTCTCTAGGGAGAAGAGAACTCTGCCCGTCTTGGAAGTCAGGAAGGAAGCCTTGTGTCAGGGATGAGTATTTTAGAAATAGGGAAAGGCTGATGCATGGAGGCAGAGATGGGGGAGTTCAGAATTAAAGCTCCCCTTCCCTAGAAGAGGCCAATGATATCTATTGGTTCAGCATCATACTGGCGGGAACAGAGCAGGTAGAGCTGATGGTTGCTTAGGGTGGTATTGTAGTAGCAGCTGGTGGGTGGCTGTTTGTCTATTAGTTGGCAGATCGTGAGGGGAAAGGAGTCCTTGGTCAATGTGCAGTATTGATTATAGCTCTCACAGAAGTCCTCAGTATGCTTGCAGTACTTCTGGATGGATTTAAAGGAGACATGTACCACGTAATGGATCTTTGGACAATCCCATCTTTGCATTCTGCCCCGCACGTAGCCCATAATACCATTACAGTAGCCCTGGAAATTGTTTGAGTACTCAACCCGGGGGAAGTCAATGAATATATGTTCAAAGTTCTTGATGGCATGCTGCAGGTTGATACCCAGGATCAGAGTTGGTTCTAGAACAAGCTGGAAGAAAAGCAGTCGTGCCACAGCTGGTGTCATTCCTCCTGCTGGCAGAGTTAAGGTGGTTAGAGTCGAATGTGGGCCTCCATCATCCCCAAGCCTTACCTATGTTTCTTCCCCTATACTCTTTTTTTTTTTTTTCCCCCACACAAACCAAAGTTTATTAAAGAGACAGGAGAAGGGAGCAGCTTGCAAGGGAGAGATGGAGATGGGCTTGCGCCTATGCTAGCCTCTGCTCTCCCACTGAACAAAAGTCTTCTTAGGGTTTATAAAGGGTTTTAGTCAGGAATAAGGAATAGGTGTCTTCCCCTATACTCTTAAGAGCTGGAAGCTACCTCAGAGATCACTCAGCCCAGGTCATCATGATCCAGAAAGAAGAGACACTTGATCAAGCTCACCCAACAGGTCAGCTACCTTCAGCCATTTCCCCTTCTCCCGTGGTCCACCTCAGGGTCTCAGCCTCACCCAGTCCGTGAGTTGCAACAATTGAAGAATAAGAGATCCAACTGGTTCTTGAATGAGAGACACTTCCCAATTATCCCTGTCCCCCGGCCACTACTTCTGGTAAAAATTACGGAGTAGATAGGAGGAACAGGGCAAGCTGACAATTCTCTGACTGTAGAAGAAGGACAAGAGATAAAGACCAACTGGGCAGGTGTGGGAGGGCAGAGGTTTTTATCTGAGGCTGGGGACAGCCCAGAGGTGAGAAGAGACTAGAAAGATTTCTGGATTGGAACCAGTCTGGAGGATAGAGTACCCCCTGAGTTTAAGGAGCCCCTGTGCTGAGGGGGTTGGATGGGTGGGAAGATTTGAGGAGCCCCTGTGCTGAAGGGGTTGGATGAATGATGTCTTCAGAACACTTAGTTCCAGCTTCTTTGCCAGAAGTCCTTAACTTCTTAGGTTTTCTTTGATGTTTTTTTTCTGGTCCATAGCCCCTGCTCCCACTGAAAGGTGAGACAGAAAGTACTGTCTTTTTTTCTGAAGAACAGAGTGCTTCTTATTTCTGATCCTCAGAGAACAGAGGGTCCATCACGCTCTCATTCCATGGGAGCCCAAGAGGCCATGTACACAGAGGCCTCCCACCAGAGTGTTGGTCTGAGAATCAAAGGCCTCCACATGGCCTCCACTTAAGAGAAGGTGGACTTTACTCAATCCACTAATACCTCTTAATAGAACCTGAGGCTCTATAACAGCACTCCTGGAAATCCATGCATGCTGACCCTGTAGTCTCAAACTTGGCAGATTGGATTAGCCTGCACTTGAGGAAGTCTAGGGTACCTAAGCCTGACCTGACATATTCTTCATGTTACTTGGTCCTTGGGGAGTTTGTCATGCTGGGGAAAGGGTCTGTCTCTCTTTTGCATCCATATCTGCCCCTTCATCAGAACCAAAGGGCTGGCTCTCTGAAACCTGTTAGCTATCGTCCTTGGCTTCCACAGGGTGTTGTTCAGGTGATAAACTTCCTCTTTGGAGAGACTTATCACCTTCATGCTGGAGGGTGAGAAAAAAGAGTCAGAAACCAGAACACTCCAGGGCCCACTGTATAGCTTAGAAAAAGACAGGGAAAGAGCCACAGAGAGACTTAATACTTTCCTCACTTCACAGGTCCTGTAAATATGCTCTGATACCACAAACTAGAGTCCAAAACTGAACCCATCTTCCCCACAATGTACTTCTCTTCCTATGTCCTCTATCTCAGTTTCTTCTGTTACCTGTGCAAGAAACCTGAGAGTGACCCTTCCCTCTCCCTAACCCTACCTTTTGGTAGTCAGTACTGCATGCTAGTTAAGATCAAGGCTTTTTTTGTAAAATAGACCAGAAATATTGAATCCTGGTTCTGCTGCTTACATGTACATCTTCAATCTAAGTTTACTAAGCCACTAAACTCCAATTTATTCATCTGTTAAATGGGGATAATATTTTATACCTCATGGCAGCTTTGTGGCAGAACCTTCTTAAACAAGAAGGATTCATTAAGATGTATATTATGAGCTTTGGGCCCAGTGCCTGAAGCATAGTGAATACTCAATATGAGCATGAATTCATCAGGCATGAAACCCTGACAATTTTACTTAAAATTTTTCTCAAATCAGTCTCTTCCATTCCTATCTCTTCCCCCATTAAGGCTTTTTCCTCTCTCCTGGGCACCACATACTCTCCAACTCCAGTTCATGAATACTTTCTTTTAGAAGGATCAACACAAAGCTTATTCTTATGAGGTGGAGGTAAAAAATATCCCAAATGTCCAGCTTTTCCAAACTGCTGTATCACTTCATCATCTCCAACGTCAACAATTCCTCTTCCCTTGAGTACTCTCCCTCCCATCTTTGGGTTTCATAATTCACCATAACATCTCACAGAACTCACAGACTGTCAAAGAAATGGTTCATACAGTTGTGGAGGCTGGCAAGTCCCAAATCTGTGGGCCAGGCATCAGGTTGGAGGTTTCTCCTGACTCACATGGTTGCAGGGCTGATAAACTTAAATCAGTAAGTCAGAAGACAGGCTGCTGGCTCACAAGGCAATAGAATCTGGCAAATCAGGTCAGAGAGTAAGCTGCTGACCCAGGTTCCAAGAACAGGGAGTCAGATGATGATGAGCTGGATGTAGGATCCAGAGCAAGAGAGAGAACTTCGCCAGAGCATTCATACATACTGGATGCAGAGGAAACCTTCAAGGAAACACCCTTTACTTGAGCAAGGCAGTGAAAAGGTATGAATGGTGCTGACTGGAATAAGGGTGAGGACTTGGATTATATCCTCTAGAAAGGTAGTGACTCAAGATACATCCTACCCTAATCCTGCCTCATTAACATAATGGACAACTCACTCCCAAATGGGAACATAACCACAGGCATAGAGGTGATCACAAAATGGAGGGAAATTACATCAAACTAGGAGGATGACTACATCATTATATAACTGCCAAATTGCACAATTCCATAACTACCAAACTACTGAAAATCGTGGCCCAGCCAATTTGACCCATAACCTTAACCATTACAGGTTCCATGTACTTTATCTGCATTAGCAGCAAGCTGTTCAATTCTTTTGGTGGGCCACAAGCACCTCATTCACATAGTCTCACCCAACATTGTATAGGAGTCACACAGACTATAGCTAGAAGGACCATATTAAGTAATTCACTGCATGGCATCTGGTAAAGCCCCACTCAAATGTATCTTTCACATAACTGTCAGAGTAAAAATATAGTCTTCTCTTTTGCCTAAAATTGTGCAATACCTTTTTGCTTCTTATAAGATATAGCCCAAATTACATCCCACAGGGCATAAGACCTTTCATGATCTGACCCCTGTCCAGCTCTACAACTGCATCTCTATCCCTGTCTGCTTCCCACATCAAGCCCCAACCCATCTCCATGACCTTGCTATTGCTCTCTCCTTTGCCTGGAAGGCTGGATCCTCATCCCTTTTTGCCCCATCAGTTTTAATTATGAAGGCAGCCCAGAGTCTTCCTGTTTAAGAAGCCTCTGCTTGAATGACTTCCCTGATAAAGTGTGCACAGCCAACAAAGTGAGAGTAAGGCCCACTCAGACAGGTATCCATAACCTTCATCCTGGTCCACAAGCCAACACCAAGTGAGATCCCAAATGGAGGATGGTCCCTGAGCTTGGCTGACTCAGGCCTTTGGGTTGAGAAAGGCAACAACATTGTGGTCCCAACTATGAATCACAGCATCTCTTCCCTATTCCCTCAAGGCTGCAGCTCTTCTGAGGCGAGGAAGGGGCTCTTCATGCCTTTTGGTCTACCTCTTTCTTCATATCCCACCCACCCACCACCATTTTTCACTCCCCCCACCCACTACCACTCAGCCCTGCACACACATTTTAAATGAATTGGTTAGGCCTTGATATTGGATGACTACTGAGCTTCTGTTCCTCTTCTGTAAAGTGAGAAAACACTTTCATGAGGCTGTAAGAATAAAATGAGACAGTAAGCATGAATACGCTTTCTAACCATTATTTGTTGTTAGGTGCCATTGAGTCGATTCTGATTCATAGAGACCCTTTGTACAACAGAGCGAAACACTGCCCAGTGCTGTGCCATCCTCACAATCATGATGCTTCAGCCCATTGTCACAGCCACTTTTTTTTTTTTTTTAACCATTAAATGATATATAAATGGAAAACTGGATATTGTTTCCTAGGTTATGCATCAACATTCCTTTTTTCCTCCATTTTTTCCCAACTCACTTTTGGTATCTGCAAACCTCTTTTATTCCTCTAACAACCTTAGTGGCCCCTACCCCTGATCTACCAATCTAGGGGGCCCCTCTAAGTCCTAACTTAAAATTCATCTCCATGAAGTTTTCTATGATTACTCGTGCCCCATATTAATTATTTTTAAATAATTAAAAAAAAAATAGTTGCTAGAAACAATCTGAAAAGCACTATGGCAAATAGTGCTTATATAAAACATATAAAAGTAAATGAAGGTTGGGACCACCAACCAGTAAAACATTTTCAATATAGATTAAACATAAAATCCAGTAGGAAAGTTACATGTAATAGATATTACAAAGGCATGAGCAGAGGGCCAGGAAAAGTGCTGAGTGTGGACTGAGTGGTTCCAAACTGCCATCCTGGTTGTTGTTGTTGTTGTTAATCAGTTAGGGTCACTTATAAGCAAGGCACCATGCTATGCTCTGTGAGAGGTACAAAAAAGGTTTAACAGGTAGTTCTTGTCTTCTGGGAGTTGACAGTCTAAACTGGAGGAAAATGATAAATACATATGAAGAAATACTCCATGATTTAAGGCAGAAAATTACATGCTTTGAAGATAACAAATGTTGTAGGAATTTAGAGGTGAGAAAGATCACTCTGAATTGGGAGGGCCAGAGAAAATTTTCCTGGGGTGGTTCATCTGGAGCCTTCGGATAGGTCTTGAAGGACATTTCAGAGTTAAATAGAGAAAAAAAGGGATTATGAGAGGTATGTTTGAGAAAAGGGAGAAAATAAGCTTAGCTTGAGTCAAAACATGCCGTAGAAGAAAAGTCAGAGATAAAGTTGGAAAGACAGGT